TTTGACAGCTTTTACCCTTACCACTCCACCAAGGGTACCCCCAAGACAATTCACACCCTGGTCATAACACACGACAAATGACGATGGCAAAGAAATCAGCACAGGAGGACCAGCAGTGACGTGGATTCCTGTCCTAAGCCGAACAGCCGGGAAACGTGAAGGACGGCAGCAGGAACGCTAATGATGTCAGAGGCAGATTCCTGCTGCTTCCCTCACCGGTCCCCAGTGATGATATAAGCAACGGGAAATGGGTTAAATCGATGGACGCCCTGTGGCGTATGATAATCCGCCGTGTGCTTCAGAGCCCCGCCTATCCCGCCCGCCATGCTGACATCCTCACAGTGACATCTCACTCTGACACTCCCGGGATGCCCACTCACCGCTGTAGAAGCGGATCATGCAGCTGAGGTCCGAGTTGGCGGCTTCCCTCTGGACGCGCAGGGGGTCCATGTATCCGATGGCCCCCAGGTAGTCGTACACCATCTGTAGGGGCCTCTCAGCGGGGTCCAGCCTCCTGTGGGGAGCAGAAAGATGCCCATCAGCCTAGCATCACCCATAAACACCCAGCCGCCTGCTCGCCGGCCTGGGATGATGTCTCTCGGGAAGCTTTCCCACCCGGAAAAAGGAGAATAGCTTCAGTGACCCGGATCGCCGCTGACGGAGCTTCTGTCAACCGTGAATGAGAAGTTATGGGATTTAGTCCCAGGAACAGCAGCATAATCATAGTATAATTGGCAGATGCTAATGTCTAAAACAACACACAAGTGAAGAAAGTTTCTGCGGTCGGAGAGCATCACAGGATAAGGGTCTTGCTCAAGTGCCCAACAGTGATAGAACTTCCATCCCAGCCACAGGATTTGAACCGACAGACTTCCGGAAACACAGGCACAGAACCCTAACCTACTAAGCAATAAACTATCCTGATACCCCCCCCCCCACCCCAAACTACCAATACTAACTAAAAATATAGCCACAGGCAGCGATTAACATGGTCCAAGCACTATGGCTTGAACAGCCACATTTAACATCAAATGTTCCATTGGAATGTCTGTAAATGAATGTGCATTAAATGTGGAAGCACTTCGTTTTTGTATGGCTGTATAACATCTACATTACTGCGTAAGTGTCTATGGACTCTGGGCACTATAGCACCTCCACGTGTCCTTCTTCTGGCCTGGAATATTGCACCATTATACCAAATTTCCGGGAGACGCCCCTACCGCAGCTCCACCTCCTCGAGATGCTCCGGGATTAAAGGAGCCAAACATCAGTGAAGGGAGGCTCCCGGCTGACGGCACCATCGGAGGTGGATCAGGCAGAAATGCCCGGCAGGTGGATTCACCCGTGATATACATGGGTGTTTACAGCCTGCTGAAATTTGGTTGGCTGTTATTAGCCATGTTTGATGAGCAGATTAACTTTTTTGTCATACGATTTGCTGGGACATCTGGCCATGAACAAACATGCAAAATTTCATCTTTTTATATCCAATGATTTCTGAGTTATAAGGATGATAAAACAAGTGAATCGGCTGAACATGGGCACAGAGCGCCGCTGAATCACAGCACGACCTGGAAGTTCCTTAGATAAGTAAATCCCCCGCAGAGGCCTGTTTGTTTTTAAACATTTACCGAACCATCATGTTCTGGTGTGACTCCATGAATACTTAATTTCAAAAACACCCCCCCCCCCCCTTTGAGATACGCTGGGCAATCGGGAACAGGGGGGTAAACGACCTTCTCGGGGCCTTCCTTCCTGCCTGACTGGGGGCAAACTCACTGTCATGTTGCAGGGGTGTAGCAGAGATCACACACACACATGCACACATGCATGCACACACACACAGACACACACACACACATGCATGCGCACAGACACACACAGATACACACAAAACAGCTGCTCTTCAAAAATAAATTTTACACAGGTACCCCGATTCTCCAGCAAACTCATACACCAGACTTTCCAGTGCTCACCATGGGCATATTTTCACATCTCATGAGAGAGAGCGAGAGAGAGAGAAAAAAAAAATCAACATTGCATTAGTCTGTGTCCACGTGTTAACAGCAGGGGGCAGTGTTTTATTGGAGACGCAGACACGCATGACAGGGAGGAGCCGCACATGGCTGGATCATCATCTGCATTTCCGCTCAGTCGGTGCCTTCCCATTCAGGAGGTGCACAGATTGTCCCTCACGGTCGTGACAGCAAGCTTCTATGCGCTTCTAGAAAGACAGGCCCTGAATCCGGGTCACGGCTGTACGCTGCTATTCCAGGATCCCTCCAAGCATCCGAGCTCATCAGGTCAGGTCAGGGTATGATGATGCCTCACTTCCCTGTAACCCCCCCCCCCCAACTGCAATGTACTGACCGGCAAACTGGTGGATCACGACTCTATGTAAAAATTGTGACTGCACCCCCCTCCCCCCCCGGCCTCAGCTTTGTGCCCAAGGTTGAAAGATAGGCAAGATCGAGCAGTCTGACATGCACAGCGCCTCCTGCTGGAATTGGACAGATTAGTAGCGTTGGGAATGAGCCACCGCCAGGCCTGCAAGCCCTGAAAATGCACGCCGCTGCTCTAAGACGGATCTAAATCATTTGCAAATCCGCTCCCCGCTTGCGCCTGAGAAAAAGGAAGCTTCTGAATCGACACACCAGCCTAATCCCTCCAGGAGAGGGGAAAAAAAAAACAGAACCAAAGGTCCATTCCGCTGTCTGCCGCCAGCTTCCCTTAATCTCCCGGCTGACAGTGAGAATTTCCATTAATGAACGGGGGGGCACTGTCTGAAATGAGGGGACGGCCTGCTTAAAAGGTGCGTGTACGTGCAAAAAGATAGCGAGGAACTGTGAAGGAAGCCCAAGGACCGGACAAAGCCATCGCCCTGTGCACCTGAGCGAAAATAACCCTTGAAACATGCCGAGGAGGAGGTGGCCACAGAGGCCTGATTATAGCCTGGCTGCGTGTGAAACGCCGTCTCACGCAGAGGTCAGAGTTATTCCGGGTGGCAGGTCGCCGTGGCGACACGCTGTAGTAGCGCCACACCGCCAGGCTCTCGTGGGCGCTGGCGGCACGCGGACCGGCACCAGGTCGGACATGAGGAAGGCCGTGCTGAGCTGTACCCGACCCAACACAGCGCACCCCTGTCGTTTAACATATTAACTAGATTCCACTAAATATCACCTGGGTCGTTTATGCCATAATTGCAAGAACGACTCTTGGCCACATATGATAGAACAAAACACAGACCGGCTCTTCATCGATCCCTATGGGGAATTTCTCTCTTTGCCTACCTATCTTGCTCTCCACGAGACGCACAGACAGATAGAGAGGTAAGTGCAAGCTTGAGGGTCACAGTGCAGGGTCAGCCAGCATGCAGCCCCCCTGGAGCTGCAGTCTAGGGGGTCAGGGGGCCAACGGCGGCATCAGTCTGCAAGCCCCAGGCCTTTAAAACCCCGGCCTTCCGGTCACGAGTCCTAACCAGCTGAGTCACTAGCCACCCCCCAAACAACAATAACAATAATACATTTTCTTTCCTAGAATAAGCTCCAGAATCACAGTGACTCTGCAGTAAATTCTGTCCAAACAAAATGGACAGATACTTAATTCTATCAGAAATTAATTTTAGAAATGACGAATAAAGTTAAAAATATGCCCCCATATGTTTACAAGACACTGATCCACCTACTGCTGCAATTACAACATTCAGCCCTACTATCTAATATTATCTTGTGCTTCACAAGACTGTTTAGGCATTTAAATGGTCGTAATATCAATATTCCATCAATAGATAATGGACAAAACTGAATATTTAATACGCAATACCAGCAAAATAGAAAAACAATCCCAAAGGTGAATTCTAACATAAAAAATGTAGAAGGAGAGGAATCCACAGAAGGCTGTTCTGGTACCACACGGGAACATCCTCTGCGTTTCCCGAAGACGACCATGCGAGGTATGTCTCACCGCAGCCATCTGTCACGGGGGATACAGAAACAGAGCACGGCTTCTGAGTCTGATCTGCTCCACTTGCTAAGGAGACACTGGGCCCCAGAGCCTAGCCCTCGCCACCCAGAGGTACAGAAAAGTCCAATGTTTGTGTCACCACCCTAAAAAAATCATTTTAAAAAATCACTTTCTGCTGTAATACATATTTCAATAATTCCAAAATCACATCGGAAATCGCAGTTCAGCATATTAATTTAGCCCACGGTGAGGACCTCTAGGAGTAGAAGATACGGGACACGTTCGGATCACAACATGGCCTGGGAATTCCCCCACCCTGTTTCCGGAAACTTGCCCGTGCCCTGGCCATCCATATCACCACACTCTGTAGCATTACAGTGTAGGGGTCATCCAGTGAGCTACCCTCTGTCTGTCAGCCAATCACCTTTTTTGACTGGTCAAAAAAAAACACACCAAGAGCACTAAGTCAACGTTGCTTTTTTCCACGGCCCACTTGGCAGGATTACGCGGCAGTATTACAGCCATCTTGCATAAAGTCCAAGGATATGGGGCCCTTATCAGCAGGACACAGCCTTGAACTATGGCCACTGTTCCACACAATATTCATTACAGGTAAATCCAGGGCTAAAAATACCCGCTAATATTCATTTACATCCAAATGACTTGCACTTACCAAAACAGTCTCCTAGCTATGTTTTTACAATATATCCTACCCGACAGGGCAACAAAGCACAATGTAAAAGCACAATAAAACCCACTTGACTTGTAAGGTACAGGTATTCTATTCTCATCTAACAGGTAACTAATCTAAAATGAATGTCCAAAATTAAGGTATATAAGGTAAATGATAAATCGTACACATCAAACCAGCTGCAGTTCTATGAATTTTCTCTGTGTACCAAGACAACTGAAGTAAAGATACGTTCATTTAAGAATACTTGCTTCTCTCTGTCACCCGGAGAACATGACTATTGACATGCATTGTAGGATTAATAGACCTCAATCCATATAGCTGTATAGCCTGTATGTGGGTTGTTTGGTAACAGCAGTGGTGTGAGCTCCAGGAGCGTGAAGGTTGGGGTTAGGGTTGGGGTTAGGGTTGGGGTTAGGGAGATCCTCACCTGAGCAGGTCTCCATGGAGCTGCAGGTACAGACTCTGGGCATTCCCCTGACTGCACAGCTCATCTGCCGTGGTACTGGTGGAACAGAGCACCAGCCTCAGGTCTGGCTGCGTGGATGAGGCAGGCTGGGCCTCGCCGGGTCCATACAGGCAGACACAGCCGCGCTGAGCTCCGCCTTTCAGCCAGTCCCGCTCCCTGGACCCGAAGCGGTTCTTGCGGGTCACGCAGCCCTGGCTGCCGTTCCGTTTCATGTTACGCTGGTCAAGAAGAGGGGAAGGGTAAAGAGCAGGTGAATGGCATTGAAAGAGGACGACTGCCTGTTGCTCTCAAGATACGTCTCATGGGCTTCGAGCTCTCCAAAGAATAACAAGCTTTTTACATGGACATACCTGTAGCACATCAGGAATGAGGGAAACACCGGTTAGCTACAGGAAAATGTCCAAAATTAAGGTATATAAGGTAAACGATAAATCGTACACATCAAACCAGCTGCAGTTCTATGAATTTTCTCTGTGTATCAAGACATCTGAAGTAAAGATACATTCATTTACACAGGTCTTAGCACAGGTCTTCACACAGACCTCCACACATGCAGGTCTCTCCCTGCCGGCCCCTGGAGGATGGGCTCCCCCTTTGAGTCTGGTCCCTCCCAAGGTTTCTTCCTTCTAGGGAGTTTTGCCTTGCCACTGTCGCCTATGGCTTACTCACTGGGGGCTTTGGGTGGGGATGCTGTAAAGCGCTTTGAGACGATGTAATGTTGTGATAATGCGCTATACAAAAATAAATTTGTTGTTGTTGTTGTTCACAAGCAGACCTCCAGAGACACAGGTGTTAACACAAACACCTTCACAGACGCAGGTCTTAACAGAAGACCTCCTCAGACGCAGATCTTAACACAAGCACCTCCACAGGCACAGGTCTTAACACGAAGACCTCCACAGATGCTGGTCGTAACACGAAGACCTCCTCATATGCAGGTCTTAACACGAAGACCTTCAGAGACGCAGGTCTTCACACATACAACTCAACAAACTCAGGTCTTCTCCTATAGACCTTCACGCAGACCTCCATGGTAAATGTGAATAAAGGACTGGGCCTCACTTCTGAGTCGGGTAACACAGAGCTATTAGTCAGCCTGATGAAATAATCCTCCCTCCATGCAGGGCTTTGGTATTCTCCACCAGGTCTGTACATGGTCTGTCCTCACAGATGGTGCACTAACCACACTCCCTTGCCCAGTGAGAGGGGACCTGCCCAGGATAAATGTTTTAGTCTGCTGAATCCAGCACAACCATCAGGACAAATAAACAAACCGACTACATACTACCTTCAACCAAAGGTCTGGGGCAGACATGAGAGCACATCTATGAGACATCACCCAGCATCCATCCAATGGTATCAAGGTAGCAACAGGAAATGTTTCTAGATGGCACGGGGGATCCGGACAGTGTGCTGGGCGTACAGCCAACTTAAAGGAGATGTTTCCAGAACAGGTGCTTTGCTGTCCTGCTCCTTCTGATAAAACAACCACGCCAAGATCCCAAAAGTGTCTGCAGACCTACCAGAAAAATTCAGGGGGTGTCTGGCGTAGTCTGCTCCAGCCTGCTACCCTGTAGCACCATCCAGCTGACTCACCTCAGTCAAAAAGCCTGTCTTCTTCTATCATTTACCTGTGATGCAAATTTCATGTATGTGTCACAGCTTGGGTGACTCAGTGAATATATATTTCATCATTTTTTGGTGCGATCTCCTAAAAACATATCATGTTTACTAGTGGATCCGGTTACAGTGATTCTTTTAAACTGATTTTAACTGATGGTTGGGGCTGGCGGAAGGCAAGGTGGGCGCGGGGGGCGCGCCTCCGCGGCGTCCATCATAAATCCTAACGGTTAGTTACCGACACGACGGCCGGGGCAACTCAGCACGGACATCCGCCCCAAACAGCGACCCCCGGCCGCAGCATGCCGTCGCACTCCTTTTTTTTTTTTTTTACAAAGCAACACGATCGATGACATATTCCGTTACACCGAGACGTCGAAGGAAAGCCATCTCAAAATCCTAAAACCCTCATTTTTTATCCATTCATTTTATTTTTTCGTTTATTTATCTCTTGAGCGAGGGCGTTGCTTATAATGACAGCAACATGCAACAAAGTAGCTACATCTGCGCTACAAATGCAGCTAGCGGGCAGTAATCCGGATGGGCGCATCCGGGCGCAGCCTAGTCACTGTAATATTAGTTATGAAACCGGGCACCGGTAACCGGTAACCAGCGTCTTAACCATTCGCAAGGCTCGCCGTTTATGCCATAATTTCAGTTGTGTGCAAAGCCGGAGATGTCCCACGACGTCCGATTTCGCAGCGAAAATCAGATGACAGCCGTGAGTGTCGCCGGCAGGGTGCTGCGTGTCACCGCACGGTCCCCCGCGTACCTTTAGCACCCGGATCCCCGCGGCGCCGCGGCCGCTCGGTGCGGAGAGGTCGGCTCGACCCGCCGCTCTGCTCGGTCCCGTCGCGCTGGGCTCGGCGCACGGCGAAGCCCCGCTGTTTTCGGCACCACCTTGTTTTTTTTGGTCCGGAGCGGGGTCCGGCACCGCCACCGACAGGCTGTCTTCTTCCTCCATTTACATTGAAATTTTCTAGAAATAGTGGAGGGAAAAGATTTCTAAAAACGGTGGTCGCTGTTCACACCTGGTAAATTCCAATGCATGGGACGGCAAAAAAATCCCATTCAGGTCCGGTAAGACGCCATAACGAGACTGAACATCGCGGCTGTCAGATGGAGCTGATCAATAAACATTATAGAGGCTGGGCTAGTTATTATTCATATGCACAGGCCGGCTCGGAGGCGGGGACTCGCTGAATTATTTATTAGCTCTCGTCTTTTAGGTTCACAAGGTGCACGCCTTTGTATTATTGCATTAGGCCCATGAAAAGGCATTTTTAACCAACCACAAGGCATGCTGATATACATTATTCTTCAGTAGCTATATTAGGACTGGCATCCTGAATAGATTTCTAAATCCAGCTTCATGTCTTCATTATCCTGTGGGGTATTAGATTTCAAGAAACTCACAAACAGCTCGGCTAAGATTATGACCTTTTCTGTCAATAATATACCAACACTTTTATGAGGATTAAAGTTATGCACTTTAGAGATTCTACAAGCGATGGGTAAGAGCCATAGCATGTGAGATCATGGTGAACTATGGATCACCAGAGGTGACAATTTCAGGCCCAGAAAGTAAAAATCCAGATTTACTTTCAACCAACCAGTTCAGCATAAAGAGTCACAGTCACAGAGTACTCAACCGGTTGGTTGTAAGTAAATCATGGTCTGGATTTTTACTTTCTGGACCTGAAATTGCCACCTCTGTATCACTGATTTAACCAACATCCATCTACTTACTTTGTTGGTTCCCGTTGGGTTAAACCAGGTGCTAATTGACAGAAAATGGCATCTCAGTTTACATCAGCTATAGAAAGCTCAGTTCTCTTTTTGGTTATAACTTTGCAGACTGCAAATCACAGACTTACTTGCCTTTTGAAATAAATTGTAATGCTGTAGACCACTCCATGTGAGGCAATATAGTGACAATATAGTCACCACTGTGACCACTCCTTCCACCACCAAAAACCCACATAAAACTTTACATTCAAGCGTCCATTTCTGTCAGCCCCAACATGCTTTTATAAAAAGCAATAGATATATATAGGCAAGCTATTATTATTACCAGTAATGCTAACATGGGAACAACAGACAGAGAACAGTATTGCCATTATTTTCATTTTGAAAATTTAGACGTAACTAGCTTTGTAATTCAAATCGGCATGTAATAATAATAATAATAATAATAAGTTTAATTTATAATGCACTTTACATTTTACAAAGAAGATCTCAAAGTACATACAGACAGTGAGAGAATATCACAATAAAAACAACAATAAAAGAGGAAAAAAAAACATTTAGTTAAGCAGTCATTAAAAACATTGGTTAAAAAGAAATGTTTTCAGGTTTTTTTTAAAACATGTAACAGTCTGTGGAGCCCTCAGATGTAGAGGAAGGGCATTCCACAGCCGTGGGGCAGCACTGGAAAAGGCCCTATCTCCAGTGTTACGGGAACGAGTCCTGGGAGGTTGGAGAAGGTGTGTGTTGGTGGAGCGGAGAGTGCGTGGGTGACAGTGCGGAGTGAGGAGTTCTGTTAGATACACAGGCGCATCACCATGCAGGCATTGGAAGGTAAGCAAGGAAATTTTGTAGGTGATCCGTGCAGTAACGGGAAGCCAGTGAAGGGAGCGGAGCACGGGAGTGATGTGCTCATGTTTCCTTACTCTCATCAGGACCCTGGCAGCACAGTTCTGAACATACTGAAGTTTTTGTATGTTTTTTCCAGGAATCCCGATGAGAAGCGCGTTACAGTAGTCCAGTCTGGAGGAGATAAAGACATGCACCAGTTTTTCTGCATCAGAAAGGGAGAGTGTAGGCCGGAGTTTAGCAATATTTCTAAGATGGAAAAAGGAGATTTTGCTAATGTGCTTGATATGGTTTTCAAAAGTAAGTTGAGGGTCAAAAATAATGTCATTCCTGGTGAGAAATATTACATTACTGCATACTGAACCATCAGATCTTGTGGGGGTTTATGAAAGGGGGGAGACTTCAAGGGTTTTTTTCTCCATATACCAGACAAAAATCTAATAAATTTTCCAGCCCAGCTTGAAAAACATAAGACAAACAATGAATAAGGGAAAGAAACTAATATTGAAGTAGCCATTTGGCTGAACAGCATCCAGACCTGTTATAATCTTATATACTTGGATCATGTCCCCCCTCAGTCTCCTTTGCTCGAGGCTGAACAGATTCAGTTCCGCTAACCTCTCCTCGTAAGACATTCCTCTAAGACCAGGAATCATTCTCGTAGCTCTTCGTTGCACCTTTTCTAAGGCAGCAATGTCCTTCTTAAGGTATGGTGACCAAACCTGCACACAGTATTCTAGGTGGGGTCTTACCAAGAAATGAATTGTATATTCATAGCATCACCTCCCTTGACTTAAACTCCACAAACCTAGAGATGTAACCCATATGTACTTTATATTTCTGCTTCCTGCATGGATTACCTTACATTTATCTACATTAAATTTCATCTGTCAGGTGTCAGCCCAGATCCCATTGTAGCCTCTGTGCCACTGGTTCAGTATCTGCTACACCACCCACCTTGGTGTCATTTGCAAATGTAACCAGTTTACTGTATGTATTGGTGTCAATATCCTTAATGTGCATTAGGAACAATAGTGGTCCTAAAACTGAACCCTTGTCACTGAACTATCCGCTGCTTCCTGTCTAACCAGTTTTCGATCCAAGCTGCTACAGTTCCTAAAATCCCTGCAGCTTTGAGCTTAAGCAAGAACTGTTTCATCAGTGTTAAACATGTACTCGTCAAAAGAAAAGTTAAAGCACCAATTACATTCAGCTCATGGCTTCCATTTTAGAAAAATACACCAAATACCTTTTTATTTTTCATCTGTATTGGAACAAAAGCCACTTTGACGGCATCTTTCGACCATCTTGCAAAACTTCCAGGGAAAATCAGTCACGAGCCATGGTACATAACCTTGAACTGACATGCACCTTCCTAGCAGTCTGAAGGGCCATATAAAAATCAGTGAGCAGCAATGATGAAGATCGGGTAGATGTTTTCCAAGTCTTATTGGTATGTTTGTTCAGAGGAACATAGTGTAATGCTTATGGCGCAGTTTCAGGCGGGGGACAATAGGACAGACAGCAGTGCAATATAGGACAATACAAGAATGAAAGAACAAATTAGCAATAACTAGGAGAAGTAGAAGAAATGAGGATGTAGAAAAGCCTCACAGCATGTCGCAATGGGATGGAACCATCTCGGTGGTTCTGGTAATAAATCAAGGCCGATGCTGGATTTTCACAGACAGAACGAGCAAACCAGTGAAATGATAACAGGGCTGCGTGTGTAGAAACCATCTTTAATATGCGGAGTAACAAAATGCCCAAAGATGGCACACTGGTGCCAAACTTTGGGTTGGATATTACACATTAATCTACACAGCGGCAGTAGTGTGGAGCTGAGGAGCTGCTTGTCACCTCACCGCGTTATCTGTGCTGCCTTTTACAACACGACGTGGATCTGCAGAAGAAAAAAAATTTAAATAGGATGTTCAAAGAATGGGAATAAAGGAAGTTTTACATTTCCATGTTCACCTTCCACTTTTATCTTGATAAAATTTGATAAATTGAATTGACACAGCCACACAAATGCTGCATCAACTAACAATTACCAGATGCTTCCAAATGTCCATTTTCCACAACTGCTTACTCAGTACAGGGTTGAGATAAGCCTGGAGTTTTTACCCAGGTTACAAAGGGTGAGATGCAGGGGGCACTCTGGACAAGGCGCCAGTCCATCACCAGGCTCACTCACTCACACCATGGTCTATTAAGTCACCAATACACCTGACCGCACTTTTTTTTTTTGGACAGTGGAATTCATCCACACGAACAAGAGATCATTCAAAGTGGGAATCACACAACACTTCTCTCCTCTATTAAAAGATATAAACCCACTAAAATTCACTGATTCCAATTCAGATTCGAGCAATCAAATAATATCTGGGGTTGTTTTAAGGGTTTCTTTACAATATAGATGTTTCTGGAAAAAAATATATCTCCAAATGTACACAGCAAGGACAAGTCCAGACAAATTACCCTCAGCAAGCTGCACTCAAATGTCTGAATATCTAGTCCAGCTGAAACACAGGTAGCAGATACAGGGGGACGTGGTGGGAAGACACCTTCATGGAGGTCACCACCGAACATCTCCTGGTCAGGGAACCTAGGCAAGAAACCTTGCTTACATCTACCAGATCTGGGGGAAGATAGTGAATTAGGCCTACAACTGATCAACTCCGACCCCAGTTATGACAAAGTAATTTTACTTATACCCTTGTCATTACATCAAATTACAATTAGGTCTTGATAAAGCACACCCAGGAACAGATCTCAAATACAAGAAATACTGAAACTGCTCCAATGACAAGCCAACATACCGACATACGCAGTACATTTTATACCGTATTATTAAAATTACCACCAGGTTTGCTCATCAGATCCACCAAGTTAGACTACTTTGTGGCAGGGACATCAATTTAATATTTCACATTTTTTTATTTAATTTCTTTTACAATTATATACAATACACAGGCAGCAGATACTATTTCTTTTTAATATACAAGGAAACAAGGAGAGCCATTAACTTAGGCTAATATGATGCTAAGATCCATTTCAGACAATACACGTGTTACTCAACAAAATCAGAAATCAGTTGGTTTAAAAATGGATGTGAAGAATTGATCTAAAAAGCCCACAATATATACAGATAAGCCAAGATTGCATTTAGTCATTCAGTCAAAAAAAAATCAGTCATATTTACCTCCATATACATATCACACTGCTCGCAAAGATTCAATTTGCAAAAACATCTGATTTGGTCACAAAAGAAAAGACAGTCTAGAAGAATGCATGTAAAAAGCATAGCATCTTTTCATCCTACAGAACAAGTTCATGGGTGGTTCTGCATTTACATCATCACAAAACCTCTCAGCAGTATGTTCGTATATTGACTGAAACCCCGGTGCACTCGACATCCTAATGTGGGCTGATGGACGTGGCCTTGCAGGTGACATGTTCCAATGCTCATAGTCCAGAACGTGTTAGAGGATGTACAGAACAGAGGAAACACAATGAGGTATTTATTCTGGTGACAAGAGCCCCTATTCTCAGCAGACGAGCCAAAGGCGCGGCACCCGGCGCGTGAAACCACATGACACCGATTCAGAGTTGCTCTAAGACCACAATGTCTAACCTTTTTGTATTTTTGTTTCGTTAATTCTTCCCTGCCTCTTTTTGCAACATCACTGAATGGTCACGATTTCACCGGACTCAGAGCCCAGTGACCAGCACCTGAACAGGGCAAATCCTGGGTTTTCCACCTAAAGGGAAAGGCACATTTTTGTCATAACAGGCAGTTTCGCAAGACGTCAATTATCACCACTGTGCAACAACGTTGTTAGATGTCAATTCACGTCTGTTGAGCAGGAGAAAGTGAGTGGGGATGAGGGGGCATTTTTATATGGTCGAGATGATGGCTTTAAAATACCAAGAGAAATATCATTTTCAATGGTGCATAGCACTACATTCAAAGAGTATGCGAATCTAGACAGATTTGTACCAAAGGACCCACAAAGAGAAATGCAGTGCGATATACCTGTATGTGTTTGTTTTGTTCCATTTCAAGTTTATCACATTTCTTAAACTGTAGAATTTTCAGCAATTCAGTGGTTGTTCGGATGGCATTTGGGAGGGGGAAGGTCAAGGAACACAAAATGGACATCATGAAGTCTATATAAAAACAGGGCCCATGCTGAAGAGAACATATTCTGCAAACCTTCAACAGTGTTCACCAATAGCCAACCAGGAAATGCACTTCCAATTGCCCAGTGTCACTCAGTCTTGGTTTGACCGCCAGCGTGCTCACAACTAGAATACAGATGAGCGAAACATTAACTACACAGCCAACAACGAAGAAGCCTGATTGTTTTTGTCATCAAGTCATCAAGCCCATTTACTCCAAACGTGGAACAGAATATTCGGGAGAGAAAGAAAAAACAAGGAATAAAAGCAATGGGTGCCAAACGTCACAGAACATTCCTAAAATGGTTCAAGTTCAAAAATAACCCAAACCAGTGAATCTTGTCCATTTCATTATAAAATTAAAATGGGAGAGTATTGCTATGTGTCGGAAAGAACTGCTCTGCAAAATGTTTAAAATGATTTTATGAAGTCTAAACAGTGAATTATTTTTTTTTTTTTTTTAATCTTGTATGCCACCAGTGAAGTTGCTCCCTTATCCTGACCCAAAAATGAAGTGTTAGCATATCCATCAAATACCAGCAACACTCAAAGCTCAAAAAATATTTTTATTCTCCTGACTGTGTCCCCCCAGCCCACAGTCACAGGGGTCAAACACTCTGATTTCCCTTTAATGTTGAATGTGAGCATTCAAAAGCTTTCCATCCTTATACACCCTGCATAATCTGACATGATTCAAATGAGCTTCATGTCCTTCTGGTTAATAACTCAGCAAAAAAAGCTGAAAGACGTCAGTGCTACAGTGCAAAAAATTAAGTCCAGATTCTCACAAACTCCTCAAATCAAATGGCCTTTTTTGCAAAACTGCAATTCATTCTTCAATCCAGTGGAACTAACACGTTTTATATAAAGCATATGCTTACCAGGACCTAGAAGTTTGTACTTGGAGCAACAAGCTAGCAGGCTCAACAGAATATTGCTCCTGCAGTTTCAAACATAACCAACTGAAATACAGTAAAAAATAAAATAAAAAATACCAAAGCCATCGAAAATAGTGATTACCCAACAAGATCTGGAACAGTGACCAGCTCTGCGTGGTGAATAGACGGTGTGATAAAGTGCATACGTCATAGTCTTCGACCCCAAAGACCCCAAAGAAAAAAACCATCAACAGTTCACAAAATCATTCTGATCTTCCCAACCACTTCCAATTAGATTAAGTTAAAAACCAAGAAATATGCACACAGACACACCCACACACAAACAATGACAGCAGCTCCTTACAGCAATGGCCCAGGAAGGTGAGACCCCACCCCCACACCTGTAAGTGACTTGGGGGGGGGGGAAGCTGATGTATCCGAAATGATGGGGTTTGGAGATTGCCTGAACAGCAAAAGGTAAGTGATCAGTGCCTATTGCAAGCCATGACTTCGAAAGACCAAGGTTGGAACCACAAGTTGCAAAGTCTGGAAATGGACACGATGGTATCTGCTTGCTGTTGTCTCCTCGCCACCTTTGCTGTCACCAACGTCGTCGTCGTTGATTCACGTCAGCGGGTCGATGTCCCCTTGCGACCCCAGGGCAGCAGCCTTCCGTGTCACCGGCGAGTGGCACATCCAGGCCCTCCCCACACCCTCAGTTCCCTAGGTGGGTCTTCGAGAGTGAGGCCATCACTGCCAGGACTGAGGGGGGAAACTGTTGACCTCAGCCAGGTCCTGAAGCGGAGATCCTTTGTGGGTGTATGTCAGCTTGATCCTCATTCGCAGCTGATGCTGAACATTAAAAAAAATTTAGGTTATTATGAGCAAAACTGTCCAATTAGGATGGTTTATGCATTCCAGCTGTTTACTGGAGAATCTTTTTTTTTTTTTTTTTTTAAACATTCTTTTTCATCTTAATCAACCAGAATCAATTTCTGACACGGGACAGTGAGAACAGAGGAAGCTTCTTACCTTCTGGGGGTTGAGTATCTTGATGACCTGTGTGACTGCACCCTGGTTAAGGGCGGGGATGACATTACTGCTGGGTGACAGGAGCTGAAGCTGGAACGTCTGGTCAGAGAGAAAAAAAAAAAAAAAGATCTACGGGTGAAGGAACTGGAAAACCATGCCCTAGAAGGCCCCACCACCTGTCATGACTGAGACCATGATCTTCAGATGCATCAAACTCACCTTTGGTACGGCAGCCTGGAACACAAAGTTCGTCATCTCTGTCTCGGTGTGGTTGGAAGCGTGAATGGTTATGATGGCTATATTTGGATTTGTGTTGGACCTCTCAAATGTGAACTCTATTTTCAAGCCATTCTTGTTGTATGCCGTCATTGGCGGGATACCTACGAACACACATTAAGGCACATTGTGGCACCGACAGTGAACATTCCCCTCAGATGTAATACAAATGGAAAAAATAAATGAATACAAATGCAAATCAATCAAAGTGAAAATCAGCATTGGAGCAAAACAATGATTGAATACATTATGAAAAACTCCTCTAACAGGCTCTACGTAAGAGGTGGCGGTTATAACCCCAAGCCACAAAAAGTATCACAGACAGGTCGGCTGTGGTCACCTGCAGCAACATCATTAAAAAGTGGCTGTGAGGAGACGCCGTCGAGCAGGAAGGAAGGCTGAGACACAGGAACTTGAGGGGCGGGGTCACCTATTATCCGGAGCGAGAGAGAGACACACGTGACATTCCATAATATCCACAACCATTTGAAATGAAAAATAAACTTATGATTACAAGGAACAGATACAGTATTTGGTCAAAATGCATAAGGATTCCTGGTATATATTATTTGGGGGGAATAACTATTGCAACGTTCTCTGCAAGAAAAGGGTGAAAGACGTGAACAGGCATCTGCAGCGAACAGAACGTTTCACAAGAAAAGGACCGAAAGTTTCATGTGACAGAGTGCCATTGCTTCGCCTGCATACAAGATAGGGAAATCCCAATATCCCAAACAGGTCATTCATTTTAAACAGTGTTATCAGAGATGATGATGACACGTAGCCGATAACTGGAAAGCTACTGGGGGACAGAGCCGGGGGGGGGGGGCGGGAACATGGACTGACCTGACAGAGAGAGATCCCCCAGCAGGTCGAGCAGCTCGCCCCCTGCGGACGCCGGCTTCGCTGCCGGGGTGGTCTGGATCACAGGCGCCACGTCATTCCCTCCAAGGAGGTCCAGCAAATCATTAGCCTGAAACATGAGTAGAGCCTCAAGACACCTTCCCTGAAGCCACGCAATTTCAAGTGGGCTGCCAAGGTAGAAACAATTATCGACAAATAATTAAAGCCAAGAAACCACTTATTTTTTCAGAAACAAGCCAATATGATAATAGGTTCTGTGCTATGAATGTTATAAATCATTCCAATTTTCAGAATATGCCAAGGTCTTAATAAAATATTTCTCTGCAACCCGTGCAAACAGTTAGAAGAAAGGGCTTATGCGGTGGATGACGTCAGCTCAGACCCCAGGGGCACAAGCAGATCTTATCCAAGGTCTGGAGGCTGAAGCACATGCAGAAACACGGCGAGGTGAAGTAAGGCTTGAGAGCAAGCCAAAGGCCTCGGGTCATGTGACCGACTCTGCGTCTGCCAATGTTCCCAATGTGGCCGGGCATTATACAAGTCAGGGAAGCAGACAATGGGCATAACTCGCTGATCTGTGCTCTGCTGAACACTGTATGCCAAGAACAATGTAATAAACTTGTAATAAACTCGACATGTTAATTAGCCAAAAATGCCTTCATTATAACACTCAGTGCACACAATCTGATTTAGGGACCTTCACACAACAAAAGCATCTCATCCATTTCAATGCAGTTCTTTTCATTTGCATTTTGGGGTATAACAGCAGCTTATTCTGTGAGGCACTAGGAGAGACTTGATGAGGACAAGGAGATGCACCCTTTTACACAGAGAGGCGTGTGTGTGCATATAAATAGGCTCTCGGATTTAAACCTAGTAATTAAAAAGGCCTCTAAAGTTAAACTGACTTAGAGGCAACGTTGGCTGCTTAGCTTCAAGGCGTCCAAATGAAAAATAAAAACATCTTACTATAGAACTGGAAGGGTGCATTTAGGTCATTTCCAGTTTATAATAAACATCACTGAGGACTGAACATGGGATCTCTCAGGTACACTTTGTACACACATTTTTATAACACTTTTTAAAAGACAGGTTGCGCTAAAATTTAATTGTTGAACTGGATTTAAAGAACTAGTTTTAGTTAAGTTAGTAAAGTTAAGTGTTGTGTGCTTGTGTGAAATATTGGTATTGGTCAAACATCTTGGGGGAAAAATTCTGTCGGGCATTTTCTTGACCTTGCCATTGTTCATTTAATTTAAAAATTGAGGAAATCCTAAAATGAAAATGGCAATCAGACAAGGATACATAAAACGAACAACCTACATAGATACTGAATAGCATTTTTTGAGAAAATATTAAAAAAGACCCACAAGTTTATAACTTCCAAAAGTCCTGGGTTATGCTCAACTGGATAAAACACTTATCAGAGCCAGATCACTTGGTTGCGATTCGGGATCAGCTGAGACAATGAATCTATACTATTCGGTTCCCATATCTTCCCCCAAGCCATTAGAGGCTATGCTGACTATCAAGAACAAATATTTCCATTGTCGTCATTTCCCCTCCTGCTATGCATAACAGCTACTGGAATGTTATCACATTTAAAGACACAAGTCAGGCATTTCAGTCATTTCAGCAGGAAGATAAGCTTTTAATGCAGTCCTGTGGGGGGCACAACTGAGGCGCTTAACTAAGCAGAAGCGCACAATTACTGTAAAAAGTCTCACTTCTGCACAAAGACTGCACTGCCATAGCAACCAGCACCTAAACGGAATGCCGGCTGACAAGGCGAAATAACAATTGTGCAGTTTAATCTGCAGCGACATTTTTAACGGGCCAACCTTCTGCCCAACATAACCAGAGTGACTAACTCAGTGTCATTCCACACCTGCTCACTTAGTTTACTTAAGGTACTTTAAAAAAAACAAACAAATGAACAAACAAAATTCACTCGAGAGATGGAAGCTAGTTATCAAAATGCTGCTGTTCACTGCCGCAACCTGCTGGTAACTGTCTTTTTGCACACCTGTTACTGGTCCTTTGCTGTTTTTGCACTACCGACTTTTACATATTGTACATATGGTATTTATCGTATATCTTATATGTTTATACTTTTATATTTAATATTGCACTACGAAGGGGAGAGAGAAACAGCATTTCAATTCCCTTGTATGATATGGACATATAGTAAATTGACAGTAAAAGGCTATTTGATTTGAAGATTATTGAGTCGAATCTCATGTCAGTCTGTTCCTGTGCATCTCCCACAGGTGGTAGGTAGGGAGTGACACGTGACTAGGAGACAGATCTTACCTGGCTGGCGGGTTGTGTGATGCTGGGCGGGTGCTTGGACTCCAGTCCTGATGGCTCCGCCTCCCCGTTGGTCTGCACCATCTCCGTTGGTCCATTGGTGGCGGTCTTCTCCATTATCGGCATTCGCTCAAGTAGGGCAGACCTTCAGGTGCCATAAACCACACACTTTTAATTATTTCCATCTTATCAAAGGGAGCCAACATCATCCATGAAAGACACTGTCTACGTTAAATATTTTACGCCTGTATGCAAAAAATGTGTAATCAAGCTATGCTTTATTTGCTAGGAGTGGGCTAAATGACCTAAAATGATCACCACAGTATTTTTCACTTTTTGCACGATGATGGTATTATATCAATGTATTACTTTTTTCAGGTTTTAGAAGGAATAACATGTCCTGTCCCTTTATGTAAATCAAAATATTTTTATAATATATTAAGTACATGGAATGTATCGTTTTCACTTAGGACACATGGGACAGTATCAATAGCATTTATTTTGTAAAATGCCTGAATATCTTACTTTTCCATGCTATAACAAAACCAAAATTACCAGCTCTGCTGTTACTGAAAGACAAACACTTTTGAGGTCATTTCACACAAATGAAAGCATCAAGGCAACCAGCTACCGACATTATCCATACTGTGCTGACATCCCTCCCGTCCAGAAGTCTCCCGCATGTTGATGCCGGCTCCCTGACACCCGCAGATTATATACAATATCCTGGGCGTTTGTTTGTAAGAGCGAGAGCACGCCTGAGGGGGCAAAGACCCTAGAGCTTATCGAGAATCTTTGGAGGAGGAGGGCAGGCGTCATGGAGCCACTATCACCATGCGGGAGACTCCCAGGACTTCTGCGGGAGCTGGGAAGTCGGCACAATGAAATATTTAAATGATGTTTTTCTCAGAGTAACTCGTGAGAGTAAGGAGGGGGATGTAACAATGCATCGGTGCTGTATCACGACACGCAGACAAAGCTTCCTTATTGAAGTTTGCTCCGTGCTGGAAGATTTAAAACCGAAGAAGTTCCAAATAACAGAGGTGATCTGATCCCGTTTTGGAACGAGACTCTCCTCACCTTGTCGACACCTCAGCTGGTTCCGACATTCCACTCATGTCTTTTTTTATTCCTCTTTCCCAGTCTTCCTTACTTTTATGAGCCTAAGCCTAAGCCTAACCCTAGCTTAAGTGGCACGGTGTCACCACACGTTAACTGGGCAGTTGTGCCTTTACCATGCACCTTCTGTGAAGGCAGGGACGCATATATATGCTGATCCAGCAAATATGTTTTACTTTTTAAATTGCTACTATCTACATGCAACCAGGGTATTTTTGTTTAATATGTATAGTTACACAAAATCTGGTTATTTTGAATGTATTAATTTGCTAATCATGACAGAGCGTCAGAATGGGTTTGGTCGAAAATTCAAACGTAGATAAACCAGTAACGTATACTATATAAGGACAAGTATTCAGACTACAACTGAAGCTTTGAAGAAAATAAAATGCTTTATTTTTTATAAATAGGCTGTTGTATAATTAGGCTAATGACTTCCTGCAGTCTACGTGGTATAGAGCAATCCATGTCATAGCGCACAATCACACCGGTGATGACTATGGCACGGGTGCACCCCCACCTCTAATATTTGTCATCACAAATGGCCACAGTTATTACAGTGCAGTTTACATAACTATCATATCATTGGAAGCAATCACATACTAAGCAAATTCTTTAACAAAACACTGATGAAAGACAATGGCTGCCGTAAATCCCTACATAATCCTCCAGCTCAGCAGAGGGCGCTCACCTCATGTGATCATACTTCTTGAAGAGAGCGTTGTACTCCACCGCCCTCTGCTGTAGCTCCACATCTATGCTACTGCCGTAGACAGACACCACTTTCTTTATCCGACTGGAAATGACAAACAACGGGACACAGGTTACAGGACATGCTTAGAACACCAGTTAAAAGCCCCTCTGACATTTTCCCATCTCCCTGGATTTGGGCTGGAGGCTTGTGCCGCTGCTTCGTCAGACAGACTAGCTCATTAGCAAAAGGTGCTTACTTCACGCTGGGCAGCTTCATGGACACAGTAAGGGCATAGCCCCAGGTCACTGGGGAGGACAATTTCAAGAAAGGTGCTTACTTCACGCTGCTGAAACGAGTGGACAGCTTCATCACTGCAGTAAGGGCATAGCCTCGGGTCACTGGGGAAGACAGGTTAGAAGCCAGAAGACCTTCCAAAACATCAAGGACCTCGTCTTCTGTTACCTACGGACAAAGGAGGAACAGTTCAGCACCGCCACTGGGCCAGGAGCTTTGTAAACAGCATCAGGAGCAGCTGGGATATACCTGGATAGGTTCCTCCTCCTCACACTGGCCTGACACCAGTAGGTCCCCATACTCGCCTATACACCAGGAAGATACCTGCACTAGAGGTTGCTGGAGGAAGGGAAAACAAGCTTTTATGCCATAGCTTCAGAAGAGCAAAGCTACACACCACACTCATACACAACATCTAGCCTTGCTGACTTGGCAGTTGACGCAAAGGTCCCCAGAAGGATGCGGGAAATAGCAAAATGAGCAACCAGTGACAATCCTATCCTGCTGCCTCCGCTCTCCTTAAGTGGTTTTGAAGCTTTTCCTTCAATAGTCCCAACAATGTCACACCTAGTACTTATCACATCTTCTTCATGGTATAGATAAGAGCTATTCTGCCTGAAGTGTTTTGCCATCAGGGTGACCAATGGCAAACAAGTTTTCACAGAGGTGCCAAATGAAACCTACAACCTATACTGGGTCGTGGTCTGCAGCAGATGATCAAAGAGGGGACGATGACAAGATCACTGTTTAAAACTGTGGGAGATGGGGGGTGGGGGGGGGTGGGACTTAGACACACGGAAATGAATTTTCACATTGTGCTGGAAGATGGGACCCTTAAGTCAGAAGGCACTCTACACTCGACTCAAAGCCACTCAAGCGTTGATCTCCTGATATTACATTGCAAAGAACAACAAGTTACGGAGTTTTTATAGTCATGAAGGACACGAGAAGGACTAACAGACCTAATACCATGCTGTCAATGACTCATATATCAGTTAGATTTCACTGACACCCCTTCTATAAGACAGTTATATGGGCTTATGCACCAATAACTGGCGCAAATTGAATTTTTATAGCCAGGTTCAGACAGGACATGCAAAATATATATTCCTGGCAACTGTTAAAGTCAGAAATGAGAAAATGGAAAATACTGTTGGTCAGTATGGACTCTGAATAGACATAAGCTAGAAAGCAACCAATCAGCTTTAGCAAAATCTAACAACCTCTTCATTGCCGATGTATTCCATCATCGTTACCATCACTGGATGGCGTGCCATCACCTCAGTGACAAATGACGGAAAAGCTCAATATAAACAGCAGTGATGTGGCCTAGAGCAGACTGGAGAACAGATGATTAACTACAAGCATCACATAAAGGCCATCAGAATTCTAAGATCAAGGCCATCAGAATGACCTTGAGAATATGCCCCTTGAGAATATATCAAGTGTTTTCAGGGACAATATCAGGAACCAATTAGAAATGCTGGACCTATCAGATAGAGAACAAGAGGAACCTCAGAAAGAGTTTAAGGAAATCATCTGAGAGCAATCTGGAAAAAAGACTGAAAATTACAAAAGAGAGGGTATTAAAAGAATTGTGAATTCCAAAAGCTACCAGAAAAGACAAATATTTGCAAAATCAGAGAACGAAGGGCTGCTTATTCATAAGATCCATGGCATTAAAATGAAGTTTCAGTCATGAGTAGATGTTAAAACAGGGGTCACCAACCTTTTTGAAACTGAGAGCTACTTCACAGGTACTGAGCCATACGAAGGGCTACCAGTTTGATACACTCTTCTTAAATAACAAATTTGCTCAGTATAAGAAGCATGTTTTAAATGCTTTTTTCCCCCAGATATTGTCAGTTTCAAATCTATATACATGCAAAAATAAGTACAATAATAAAGAAAAGATGAAAGAAACACACAGAGGACCACTAAGGCAAAGATGACAAGCAAGATATATTTAATGAGGTCAGACACATGGAGGATACTCCAGTAAGAGAAGATGAGGTCACATTATCTCTGAGATGACCTCTGAAAAGCAGACAATGAGGACAGAGGCATTCCAATAGAAAACGTACAAGCTAATGAAGGAAGAAAAAAATGAATGAATGAATGAATGGTGTCGACCAAACTGAGCCAGCAAATATGAAAACATCTCAATGGCCTACAGACAGAAAGAGATATTTATATTCCAATAGCAAAATAAGGAGATCTAACTGGACTGGAAAAGAACCATGGATTCAAGAATGGTTAAAGAATCAAGAACCTTCATCCTTGTTTGGATTAAGTGATTCTTTATGGACCTGACAGGTGGACAATGGACAAAACAGGACCAGAGTTCAGATATCCTTGAACTTTGCTGGCAAAAAACAACAAACAGATTCTTGAACGAGTCTGCATTTTCATTTGAAGTATAAGTAACCTAACTAAAATCTATCTTTGGACATATGAGGAGACCTAGGGCATGGAATAAGACCATAATGCTTCAAAACATTTAAGAGGAATAAGACAAATCAGCAACAAGATAAATGAACTCAAATCAGTAAAACCATTAACATGCCACTGGGAAACCAGAAGAACGAGACAGATGACAGGACAGTATTCTCTGGATGGCTGCCAGGAGTTGACATTTACTGAACAGCAGAACACTACTACTACTGCCACTACTACTACTAGTACTACGACTACTAACCACCCACCACCACATTTACCTCTATGCACAACCATGACTGGTTAGAAGATGGATTTTACCTCTGGTATTGCTGATTCAACTAACAATGATCTTGTGCTTTCATCGATTACTTTCAAAATCAGACAAATCTTATTTTATTAAGACAATATTGTTAAAAGAACAAAAGTGAGAGGAGGAAGCGGAGTTGCAGACTTGCACACCTGTGAGATGTCATCCAGTAGAGCCTTGTAGAGCCTCTGGACTGTGTAGGAATGTATCTCCACGCTGTTTGTGATCAGCTGGATGAGGTTGGGGACACAATCGTCCCTAACGTAGCTCCCCGCCTGCACCCATCACAGAGACCAGGGACTCAGCTGGGCATGTTGCACACTTTACTTCTTAAAACTACAAACACTGTTTATAGAGCTAGGTATTTTACAAATGTAATTCACTTCATCTTTCGCGAAACAACAGAAAGGGCCAACCTATGAGTTAAAACTCCTAACATGTTATCCTGGTCCTTAATAATTCTGTTGCCATCTGCTCTGCCATTATGGCTCCAAATCCCTAACCCTAACTACAACCAAACGGAGTTGCACTTCTGTAACTGAAGCTGTAAACCTAGTGTCCATGACTGAAAAACATTCTCCATAGTTAAAGAAATATTGCTACACGACTAGTGAAAGTGAATCAGATGTAAAGCACAGCATTCAAATGTTTTAGATCTTCCTAAATAAAGCAGAGCACACTATTCAAATATTCCTGACACCAGAGGCAAACGCATCAGATTAAATATGGTCCTTCAAGGGTTTTGTAAGACTATGTGTTGTAATAGAAAACGGCATTGAAAGGAAGCCCTTACTGTTGTCAGTACCCTCATGATCGTGTCTATGTGCCACCGCTTCGAAGGCGCGTACCTACGGCCGAAACATTAGGCAGGTTAATCAGCAACATGCATCAGAGGGGAACATTAAAATTACTGAAACAAAGACCAGGGGAAGAGGGCGGTTATAGTGGGCAAAGCGGAGCATGTGGCAGGGTCCCGTAAGCTCTGCACAGGGTCCCGTAAGCTCTGCACAGGGTCCCGTAAGCTCTGCACAGGGTCCCGTAAGCTCTGCACAGGGTCCCGTAAGCTCAATGCCGTCAGATAAAATAAGTCTCAGCAGAGGTTCTCTGACGATGGATCACTCATTTTATCATCACGCGACATAACTGCTAAAAGGTTCAGTGGACAGAAAACAACGAAAAGCATTTTAATCCACCCCAAAATACACCCAACTTTCATCACACAGTTCGTTACGATTAAGCATATTCTTTATGGTTTTCCTTCTGGAAGCAATCTGGCACCCAGGGACTTTAAAATGAGTGCCAAATTTGACAGGCACGGTGTTCAGACTGGGTTATCGGCGACACTTACTTCTCAGCGGCGAGGAAGATGCCAGACGCGCAGTCCGCTTTGAATTCTGGGTCGCAGGAGTCCAGAAAATGGAGCAACTCTTTCATCATCCCGCGGATGTTGTTCCCGTTCACCAGAGCAAAGCTGAGCTCCATTGCGCGCCTAGAGACCGATAGAGGAGCGTTAGAAAAATAAAATAAAATAAATCACTGCCAATGTGTGACAAATTCACAGATGCTTCCAGCAACTGAGAGCTTTGCTCACCTCTTGATAGACACATCCAGGTCTTTCAAACAGTCCACAATGGTGCTCCTATGCCTCTGTACTGCATTGTGGTCCGTCTGCACAGTCTTCAGCAGAGATGTTAATGCCACATACCTATGCGTGGACATCAGAGGCCAGAGGACTTCACCAATGACGTCAATGGATAATGTACAGGTGTCAACAGGATGACCAATGGGAGATGTTTACCCAATAAAACAGAAGAACATGGCTCACCTTATATTTTTGTCATTGTTTAGTAAGAATCGGCCCAATATGTTAATTGCTAAAACCTGGGGGGTGGGGGGGGGGAAATCAGAGTTTAGATTTCAAGATATGTTAATAAAGTGAAAATAAAGTGAACTTTAGAACTTTATACTTTACACAACTAGAAACTACAGAAAAAACACAACACACAGACAAAATAATATAACAACAATTGAGCACGATGTGAAAGTCAACTCACCCTCAGTCCACTTTCAGACTTGATGTCCATTATGGTCAGAACCGTTTCGTAAAGTATGGCATTTCCTACATTTTTACTCGTCTCTGTGTTGGTTGCCACCTTAAAAAAAATTGCATAAAAAAATTTGAATTGAAAGGTATTAAAACCACAGCAGCTCAGGGAAAAACACCAGACAAGCGTGCGGGCACTCACTTGGGCGAGGATGTCGTTCATAGCTTCGCTGGAGTCGTCGTCATTCCTACCCAGAATCCTCAGCAGCCGCAATATCCGTACCTGAGCAAAAACGTCCTGTCAATAGTGAACCGGTCAGGTAGATCACGGAGAGACAAGGACGGGGAGGGTGGCTCCTCACCTGCAGGAACGGGTCACTGATGCCCGACACGTCGTGTTCTGGTGAGTACCCCGACATGATGAGGTTCTTTAGGATTCGGACTAGCTGTGGAACAAGCTGAAAGGAGAGCCACGCACTGGTGAGGCTAAGGTTTGCCTCTAGGCGGCGAGGAACTAACAGCATTTTTAAAAGTGAACTGTGACACAAATATAGTTTTCTACATGGCAGATGCATACATTCAGTCACAAATAAAAACAACACTTAACACAAGAAATCTAAGTGGAATCGTTTTCTTTTATCAAATGATTAAAGGGAGGCAGATTATTCTCAAATGTGTATAATGATTGTTAGATTATTAATAAGGAGAATTAATGTGGTCTAAGGACATTTGCCGAAACACTCATCATCATATAAAGCCTCTCAATATAAATTCAATAAAAATCAGGTTTGAATATTAACAGACGACAACAGGACAACCTACACTTACACCCAGATTCATTAATAAGTGAAATTATTAGTGCCCACAAACAGATGGTGACAGAATGAATAATTACAACATCCTATGATTAGTTTGGAGGGTGTAAAGTAACTGTAAGATAATGGATTTAGCTAAAAAAAATAAAATAAAATTAATCGGAACCATACAATGGAAACTGAAGACAGACAACTGCCAAGTACTAGAAAGAGGGAAAAAGCGGTATATAGACCACAGCCATGACGCCCACGTGAACCGATCACCCTGAAGAAGCATGCACCACGAATGAAGCAGAATGTGCTCTTACCTTCTCATTCTAACACAGGAATTTCAACAAAGACAAATGACAGAAAAATGAGGCAGATGTTAGGAGGAACTAGAAGAGATTTAAAGTTTAAAGAAGAGATTCAAATAATGCTTTGATTATGAATATGAGGAGCGGCCGAGCTGGGAAGTCATTCACAGATTTTTTTTTGGGGGGGGGGGAGTTGGAGAGAAGACAGAATTCACAAGCTGGTATACAGAGATTAAAAAAAAACATCCCAGGCTGAGCCCATTCTACCTAACGAAAACTCAGTATTGGGGTCCTACTGCCATTACAGATACACCCAAAACAAACGAATGGTTTCAACAGTTATAATATAAATTCACAACTAAAAATACAACCCACCTGAAAGTCAGAATTAAAAGGAAAAAAAGGCCCTCAGCCCTCAATTCAGACTGGCCTATTAAATGGACGACTATAATTTAAATACTGACAGCGAGGCAGCAGAAGCATGCAGGGAAGGGTGCAGGGAAGGGTGCAGGGAAGGGTGCAGGGAAGGGTGCAGGGAAGGGTGCAGGGAAGGGTGCAGGACTCTCGTACCTTGCGAAAGTGAGCGAGCATGTCGGGGCTGCGCTCGCACATCTCCGTGAGCAGGACGACCGATGTGTGGAGAACACCTGGGCACAGGAGTACAAGCGCATGTGAATGCAGCACCAGCCATGCCTCCATGAGGCTTCACGCACAACCACGGGCGGGAAAAACCGATTGGCTGGGATTTTCAGTTCGGTTCCTTATTATTTGGAGAAAACCAAAGCTAATGAAACAAAAAACTGGAAATGCTGCCACTAGGCCCCATCTGCAAATTATCTTTTTTAATTAGAGAAAGAACCACTAATGTGCTCATTATATTCAGAGGTTCCAATGGTTAGTAAGCTTGTACGATACTGAAAGATGCAATGGATTGAAGTGTCAATTAAAAATCACCTAGCAACCGTCATTATTGGTTTTGAAAGATTTTAAACAATGGGTCTGCAGTAGGAGACTTCCCATATTAAAAGCAAGACATGCATTTCTTTCTCCAAGAAACATATCCCTCAACCACATTCACACTGAACCTTTAACCCAAGACTCACATCCTGGCACATCATCAAAAAAAAAAAAAAAAAAGACATATGAACAAAAAAAAAATCCAGTTTTATCCTAAGGGCAAAATATCACTGTGTGCCCACCAATCGCTGAAACAACACAGGTTTATCACAGAAAAAAATGAAGCCTTCAACTTTAAGGTGAAGGCAGCACAGATTACAGCTTTTAATTTTCCCCAACACAAAGTAGCACATTAAAAGAAGAATCAATTCTTCAGCTTCCAGCTTTAAACTTCACACGATAAGCAGGGTTTCCCCAGAGTTGTCAGCAACACACCTTTTAATACAGCTGACCAAAAGCTGTTCAATTTCAAATTCCACTGACACAGCATTGATTTTACTTATTAACTTCTCTTTCGGGCTCAACAGCAAGGCAGTGAGTGGAATTCTGAGCTACTGCTTGTAAGTTCAGCAGAGAATAACACACCTGCTACATCTACAGAAACCAGGTTAAAGAGCAATATGTGAAGGTCCACCCCCAACCCCCCAACACCCCCCCCCCACACTGCCTCTCCATGCAGAGGGTCTCACCGTGGTTCTTCTCACTCAGCAGATTCTTAGTGGCGGGCAGGAACATCTCCATCAGCTCTGGTACTTTCCTGATGACGTGAACAGCACACAATGCTGCCTGCAGACGGAGGCGACAGATTTCAGAAACAAAACTCATTACCATACAAGACACGCCATCCTGCACAAGCAATATAAAACTATGCTGTTCAGGGGAAAAAAAGACTACAACAAAAAGGAAAAACCTGCCATCTTTATTTACAGATAACGCCTGAAGGAAACGACAGGATTTGTGGGAACTGGCAGCATGAGATGAGCTGAAATACTGTGCCTCGAAAAAGGATTCAGACCTTTGGATCTCACATTTCATTATTTAGAAGCTTGATGTCATGAGGCTTGATGTCAATTATTTATTGACTACTGAACAACATACTCCAAATGTTCCAAGCAAAAATATCTAAAGCCATAAGATAAGTAAATGTGCAATAACAACACAAATTCCACAATCCTTCCCACATTGACACTCACGCTCCTTGTCTGAGAAGACAAATTCACTGTGTTGAGCATCTCTTATAACATTGTGCATTTGAAGAACATGAAAACAAAGACCAAGGGCCCATGAAACAAACTCAGGGGTCGAGCAATTTCATTAAACGAGCCTCAGGGCAAAATGGGAAATTTTCATGGAAAGACCAAGCCTTATGCTCAAGGAAGATCTCACAACACTCAACACCATCTCATCCACAATGTTTTAAGGAGAAAAAAAAAAAAAGTCAATTTAACTACATCACACAAAATGTGACACGAAAAAAATGCATTGTTCACTTCTGAAAAGTGCCGCATAGCAAGAGCTTTGCAATAGGTGTGCAAGCCCAACCCTACTGAGCCAAACCCATGAGTGCCGAGAACGGCTCAGGCTGGGAGGTACGGGCTGCTCGGATGGACTTAGGGGATGTACCTTTTTCCTCAGGTAGGAGTTTGACGTCTTGAGGAGCTTCTCCACTTCCCCTGCGAGGTCGCGGCACATCTCGGCCGAGCCCATGCAGCCCAGCGTGCATAAGGCCAGGCCCTGCACGTACTGCGTGCTGTGGTTCAGGTCACTGGATGGAGGGACGGAGCAGAGAAAGCAGGTTTCTGAGTGTCCACTTAGAGAATGCTGTGCATGACAGCTTTGGCAGACCGTCTTACAGAAAAGTAGCAGCTCACGTCACTAATATTTCCCCCAGCTTTACTTAAACATCCTTGCGATCGGCGGCGGAACAGGAGACTCTCCTCACTTCTTTATGCAATTCGTCATCAGTAGATGGACATCTTGTCTCTCATCCAGCAGTAACATAGCTCCCAGGTACCCTATTCGCTTGTCGGTGAACTTCTGAGACGCAATCAATTTCAGGCACTCCAACTGTGAAAACAGATTCATTAATTTTTAATTAACAAAATGACAATACAGATGTACACAAACAAGATTGTGTATGTATTCTCGCTACAGCGTTACTCAGAGGGGAAAACCTGAAAGCAGCACGAGCATCAGTACCTGCCCAAAGTGTGCCGGATAGCCCAGCATGTGCATGTAGAGTAGCTTAGCAACATTCCTACAGCGGTATGTATGATCCTCCTCTCTGAAGGACGACCTAATAGCAGCGCATTCTTTCTGGATCATTTCCCGTTCCTCTGCCTGGGTCCGTGCAGTCCGGATAGTCCGGATCAGCTCCCGCAGCCTGATCGGAGCTGGCATGCTCTTGAAGAGGGAGATAAAAGATGGTTAACGTTGCAACAGAAACTTAAAGCAAGTTCCACTTTGTTTTTTTTAATTGAATGGTTCATTAAGATGAAAGTAAGTCTAGCTGACAGATATGCACAGGGAACCACACAACAGTACATCTCTACCTGAGTTTCAAATATCAGACTACTCAGAACACTTACTCAAAGCGATCCAGAAGCGCTCTCTCTCTCTCTCTCTCTGTATTAAGTTCAAAGTTCCATCACAACAGATACAACTCTTAAAGACTACTGGAGATGAAGTTCTTCCCGGAAGCCATTTTTAAAAGGGCAAAAATAAAACTCCAGATAAGCACATAAACTTTTATTGACAATAACAAGGACAGCTGACATTCCATTCTGATCCTCTCCCCACGTCTACAAAGAAAAGCATTAAGGTTTCAAAGCATCAGTACTCCAGCTGATTAAAAATTAAAGCAAGCTCATGCTCAGTGGTGGGATTGAGTTCTCCAGGCTTTACATTTAGTCCAAAAAGTCAATTAACTGCCATGCCTATGTTTACACAACACATTCTACTTACATCCAGCTAACAGACCTCACAGGAAAATAATCCAATACTGGGATTATGTGAAAAGATGTTTGATTCTACTACCATGAATGATAAATCAATCATAAAACACACACTGAGTCAAAAGGAAATCATTAATCTGCTTGTATTGGAAAGAAACAGTCTACAATACTACAAAATCTCACGACACCATCACTAAATGGTAATTCCAGCAAGTCATCGTCAAAATTGATTGCTTCCATTTGACAAAGCTTTGAAACTCCAAAAGACACACACCTTTGCAGTGCTCGATTTTAACGGTCATCCAGGACGATCAAATTCTCTCTCGGGTAACAATAGGCACTGCTGGTAGCCCGACGGACAACCACAAAAAAATATCCCCAGGTGCCTTCATTGCCAAAAGGTTCTTCATTTAGTGCATTAAGACTGAATAATCAAGGCTGGCACCTGTCCCTTATAATATGGCATACTCCCTTATTGGAATGCTGCATCCCATATTATACGGGAAAAGTGGCAACTCTCTTTATAATTCGGCCTGAATTAGCAATGTTGAACATTGTAAATTACCGTTTTTCTACAAACACTAAAGATGGTGGATCTGGTCCTTATGCATAAATGTTATAATTTCAATGCTCCTGTGATGTCCATATGTAATATAATAAACACTGTTGACTTGATCAACAAGGATTTGGGCGGCGCGACTCCACTTTTACACTGATTTTCAATAAATACATTGGATTTTCTTTTTGTCTTGTGCAGTGAACATCATAAATGCATAAAATATGAACTGGCATTTTTTTCTCAACATACAGAATGCATTACACAAATTACATAAAATTTTAATTACATATTCTTTTAAGTTAGTCTACAAAATAACTGTGGTTCTGTACAGTTTGTTCGACAATTCTAATCATCTCATGAGTCGGCAACTCGTTATGAATTTCTTTTTCACATTATCTTTGCACGGTTGATATCTAATGTTAGTGATACGTATTAAACATTTACATATAGTGTTTTATATCATATAGGCCTAAGGCGATATTGATGTAGGTACTGACAGACAGAAGATTCGTCTTCTAAATAGGTAATGTAAACTTATGGGATCAATACAGCCTTTCCAGTAGGGTAGCCACATTTATGAGCAGGCAACCTGGATTTACCCAGGAAGTTGCCCTATGGACAACCTGGAAAAATCCTTAAAATTGAGCAATGCTCTGTGTCACACAATACCCGACTTTCCATTGTAAAAACTGAAAGCTATACATAGAAAGAACATACCACCAGATATAAATGCTTCACTGCATAAAAACTCACATCACATTTAAAGTTTACCTGCCAACCAGTACTGCTGACTCAATCACATCATGAAGGTTAATCTAAGAGTCATTTGAAATGACAGATAACCCTTAAAAAAAAAAATCAAGGCTCTTCCCTGCAGTTCCCTGCAACTCTTAAAGTATTAAATTCCCCAATCTTCCTTTCATTTTTCACCTGCTACTAAAACCATTCACAGCGTAAAATGTCGAGTGTAATGGCTTCAAGGCATTGACTGAAGCAGAACTTGTAATGTCACATTCCCAAATCTAACTAAACCTAGTGGGGGCACCAACAGGGCTTGGGAACAACTCTCTTTCAACCACAGTAAGATTTAAGTTTGGTGCCAGCCTTCAGTTATGACAGGTCACATTTTTAACCATTTGGGGAACTAACATCACTTTATATAAAGAAAACTAATTGTTAAACATAGCTACTTCCTCTTAATTAAACAAGACAAAATCCAGTTCACGTCTAGTTTAAAAAGCAAACAAAAAAGTTACCTGTAAACGGTCATACAACTGGTCAAAAGAAAATGCAAACTCAATTCCCGCATCCAGAAAACTCATTTTCAAATTATCGTCTCGCCTGTTTTAAAGTTGTGTGATTCAGCTTTACAAAAGCGCCAGCATACGACCAGGAAGAGAGTATCCACTGCTTGGGGCGGGGCTTAACGCATTTGACTTGCCACAGGGAGGGGAATACAATGCAAAACGCATGGATGAGAACTGAAAAATCTGACGTCTATTTGACTTGAAGACCAACACAGACCGTAAACAAAAAAGCAATAACACAGCTGTTTCACTCAGACATTATAAACTTGCTAGCCAAACATTTCCGGACTTCCCTTAACCAGTATTGTTGTCATGGTTGTTAGCATTAAAGCACAGCTCTCTAGCCTCAAAGGAATGCTAAATTTCAGGCAGTGAGCACAGCACTGGAAAATGGGATGCACTGAATTGTGCTTCAAGTGCTCTGACTCCTGACTATATTACCTTAGCCTGCATAGCAAAGGAATAGTAGTTAACTATTAATATTACCAGTCTGCTGACTTCTTCCTAGTATTCACCGATCCTATAGAGCAGACAGCCGTTAACTACCAAGGTAAGTAGCAGATACATTTATGTGCTCGATACATTCCAATACATTTAAGACAGAAGTCACAGAAGGAGAAAAAGGTACATTTCTGAGAATCTATATATTTGGCACACATAACACTAATTGTTCACAATAATATAAGCCACAGATTCTACAGACAGAAAGTAGGGGCTCTGGACTGGGGAGGGTTAATACCTGCATCACACTTCTGTCAGCCAGTGTTAACTGACCTCTGTGAATGTGAATTTCCCTATTCTGGCAGTCCAGGCTCAGCTGGACATATCCACACTCACAGACTGAAGTAACAGGTCTATCTACACCTCACATGAGCAAACATTTTTAAAAATGCATTTTACTTTATCCAGCGTCTGATTCCATATCACCAGGCCCTTACAGCCAACCAAAAAAAAAAAGTTTGGCAGATCAGGTTTTCCAGCACAAATGTTAACGACAGGTTAAAAAGTACATGAAAAACACCATGGACAAGCATTTAGACCTTAAGCAGCAGAGTTCATTTTTTACTTATGACTAATTTTGCCTTTGCCATTACTTCATAATGTTGTTTAACGATACAATTACACCTAATGGATGTTAATTACCAATAATTACCTTGTTTCAATTTTTGTGGATACAGCCTAGGCTGCACTGCAAAAAGAATAGGCATCTACAAAACAGCGGGTAGGTTGCTTAGAAAAGGAGGTAAAAGATAAATTAGATTTCCTTTAATTATAGCCAGCATACAAACCCACACAATCAGTCTAAAGGTAGAGCAAGATGAGGACCACATTAAGGCATCCATAACTTGAGACCATTTTCTGGCCTCACACTGACGACAGCGTCAGGTGGTGTTTTGTTCTATCCCTTCATGTGACGTAACCTCTGGTATGAGTGCAAAATGAATACTTGTCCCTCACTAACTAGGTTACTCGGTCACAGAAACTTTCATACTCAGTAAAATGCAAAACTCTTCCTCGAAATATGCAAGACGTTTATGGTGGAGTTAGTCCAAGTTTTATTATTGACCAAATGGTTTGTAGTTTATCATCATCAAAATGAACATTGCTCTGAGTGCAAGACTCAGAAGAAAACGGGACTGAGGACAATAGAGGGATTAGAAATGGGGTTTGGGGGGGGGGGGGAAGTGGTTGGGGGGCAACAAGCTGAGGTATGTTCACTCAAGTCTGCTTGCGGAGTTGCAGAGTGAGAAGAAAAACAGCACAGTTGAGCCTAGTTATTAGTGCTGAGGATTTCTTCATTTCACACTTTAATATTGGCAATTTAAACACAAGGAATAAAAATGCAACAGGTTCCACACAATGACTTTTATTAATATTAAATAAATCTTTAAATCATATTGTTCCATCAAGCCTGCACTGCAGCTGACACCAGCTGTAGCTATAAAAACAGCTGCTCCTGTGAGACTCTCTCTGATGTAACACCATGAACCTGGAAAGAGGCGAACTGTGCGCATGTCTGTGTGAGAGCAGACATGATCTGTGGCCCAGCACACAGGCAGAGCAACCACTGAATTCCTGCGTCAAGTGATGACAGCAGTACCACTGAATCACCTTTTGTAAAAGAGTCTGCGCAAACAGATGTGAACGAAAACCCAACTCTGGCACACATCCGACTTTATTGCAAACTTCCCCCATATTTCATTCAACCTTGCCTTCATTGTCTTTAATTATTCTCAAGAATACACCAGGGGAAAAGGACAGTCTTCATCAAATTAAAACATTAACACGTGAGAGTTAAGGTTCGTAGTATTTAAGGACATACATGGCGGTTTTTAAATGCGGCAGGTTTTGACATTTTAATCTCTCATTTAGCTGCCAAGTTAACATCGTGTGCTTTTTGCCATCATCGAGCTGCTTGCACAGAATGAATGACTTCTTGCAATTCTAGGGGTTAAGGGAAAGTTGCGGGAATATGAAAAGGTCCCAGAAACCGTCTAACTGCCGTAAAAATCAGGGCATCGTGTGATACAGGCACATCAGCGAGGTCTTCAATCTCTAGGCCCATGCAATCTACATTTCCACAAGATCGATTTCAAAACGGCTACATCTGAGATCTCCTCAGTACTGCCCCTCGGACCGCTCATGCCAAACAGCCAGAGGAGGTTTTAATCGTCTCAGCAACCGCATCCTCCCAAATAATTTAACAACAACCCAAGTAACCTCACTTTGGATGTAGGGTTTGATTGGCGAATGCTTTAACGCTGTGATCTGCGACGCCTCTGGCATGAAATGACACCCATACGAGAAACGGTGACAGTTTTATACTAAATCAATTAAACTGCCTCCTTGCCGTCACGCTTTAAGGGATGGTTTTGCTTTCTACCTACCAGCCCCTGTACGTCAGTATTACAGTCACAGCACATGTAAAAATTCAAAAACCCAAACGAGGGGTAAGTTGGTGACGAACTAATGTGGTTCATTCATTTACCAAAAAGAAGACTCTTGCGTCGTAACGTCACCCAGAACTTTATGGAGGGCCGCATAGTTAGCAGCGCCGACTAAGTGCCTCATAAATATGCTTTTTTGAAACAACCATATACTCTAGAGCAAGAAGCTATCCTAACGTGTCACGTCCCGAAGACCATGCCGACACTCTGGAGAGTCACGGCCGGCCCGCATCGGGCGTAGGGCTTCGAGCCACGCGGAATCCGCCCATTAAAACGTCCGTAGGCGCAACGTCTCTTCCTGGCTGAGTATACGGCCCCTTATCTGTATACTACAGCAGGCTCGGGGGGCGACATGTCGCTTAGCTGGCGACGACGTTCATTTCGCCGTGTTTGCCAGCCCGTCTCGGGCCTTCCCGGCGGCAGCGTTATACAGAAGCCCGGGGAGAAAGGCTCCTATCGGCGGCGCTAGTGTCCCCGTCAGTCTAAGCTACACCGAGCTGAGGGGTGCACCGTCTGCCACACACACCTTTCCCACTGTTTTTTAAAAGACAGACACATGAAGCGACGGCGATATCCCACCCGAGCAAGGAAGGGAAGCACGAAAACGAGCTCGACAGCCGACCTGACTGGCGAAACACCTTCCTGCTGTAGACACCCCCATGCCAGCTACAGCCCCGGCGGACATCATCGTCCATAAGGATTGGCGTAGAAACGCGTACTTCATCACCCAGGCTGCCCGAGACGCAAGCTTACATTTAAACGCCACGCAACCGTTCCCGACTATACTCACCAGCCTCAGTGACACCAGACAGAAAGCGGAATCGTCTCTCTTAGCGGGCGAGAGAGGAAGGAGCCCAACATTCAAAATGGCGGCTCTCTCAAGCCTCAGCACTTGTACCGCAGGCGGAGGATTACAGTAAATAAAGGTCTGAGCACGGGGCGCCACGCGGGCCCCGCGTCACATCCATTTATTCTACCTCGAGAATTTGAGGTCGAGCCGCCCTGGGCACCACAGGGAATTAGTTTCTGTGACTCGCCCCCCGCAGACAGTCATCCCCTGAAATGACTTTAGTAAACATAGCTTCCACTAACCCAGAACGGCATGCATTCAATTAAGAATGCAACTTTGAAAGTATTGTGTTAACGAAGCATATCACGTTGTGGTTTTTTTAGGTACTAGTGCAAAACACCTTTATAGTGCTACTTTTTCCACATACGATTAAGTATTGGAAAAGAAAATTAGAGATGGTCTTCAGGTACCCATTACGACAAGTTAAGAGATAGGTTTGTCTGTAGATTAATAAAACGACAAGACCTGTCCATTGGTTCAAGTTGGTGTTATTTATAGTGGCGTGTGCACCTTAGTGCGGATGTACTGCAATTTAAAGCGGCACTACTGGAGTTGTGCTGCGGTCTCGACTTCACCTCGTGGCAGTCGGTGATGACGTCACAGAGCCTATCCCTGTCATTGCACAAGGGAGCCACTTATTGGTCCCTCCATGGGAGAAGCAGAACATGCAGCATGTCCGATGTAGAAAGAATTCGGTACAGGTGCGTTTAGCAGACATTTGCGTTTTAGCTGAGGATAAATGTGCATTTAAGCCATTGCGATAAAATGTCGTGGTAGTTGGATGGGCGTGTCTTAAATGTGGAAGTGTTAGTATGGGCGCTGGCGCAGATTAATCGTTTACTAGCTTGGTTATCAGACGGCATGCTTGAGCGCTTTGCGTGTACCGTTTTTCATTACGTGGGTACTGCCTTTTGAAATATGTGTTCACATATTAATCATGTTAAGCTAAATGTCGGGTTTCCCAAAACATTTTACAATGTATTTCACCATTTCTCCCATATTAAGTTTGTGGATGGAGAGTACGTGTTCAGGTGTTAAAAATAGTTATTCCTCAAATTATACCGAAATAATAAATATGTGTGCACAATATTGTAGCTAAAATAATGTGCGTGATACAAAACAATATATGCTATTTTAATTTTGACGTGTATTTTATTTCGCGGCAGGATTTTTGCCTACTTGTTAACCATTAGTCAGATATATCTTACACCCTTAAAGAATATGCCATATGTGGGGCATAACTGAATCTAATTTAGTGTGTTACGTGGGAAATTCAGATCTTTAAATATATGTATTTCTATGTTGCATGTAGCTACTAGATAGTAATCCAAATGTATTCAACACACATTTATTTAATTAAAAAATTAATTTATGAAACTGCAAAGTGAAAATGACAGTTTTTAATGAAAAATGTGATTTAGTTAGGGCTATAGTATTGAGAATTTCTGAACAGAAGCTCTTTTTTTACAAAGGCAGTCATTGGACGTGGTTTGTAATAATCTCAGATTGATGAAGATCGATGTATTTTTGTATCCTACTCCAGGTGACTACGTTCGCCTCTAAATTTAATAGGATGATTTATGCATTTCTTGCTTTAAATCCTAGATCAGACCAGTACGCCTTATTCATTTGGTTATGAAGTACCTTTACTAGTATCATAAAGTCGTTATTTATAACCTCAAACTAGATGTTGACTGCTCAATTCTTTTCCCAGTTCTGTCGTCCAGACACGCTTCAGATCATCTGAAATTGTACCGAATTACCTACATAAATTTCCACTAGAGGCCAGCATAAGATTATGGGGTGATAAATGGACGGGCTTTCCCTTAAACCCTTGGTAAAAACTGCTGACATGCGTTAAATCTCCTTATTTCGAAATGAATGTTCTCGAATCATGTCCTTCGTTGTTATACAAAACATCAAATGCATGGCTATGAAACCTATTTGGAAACGGAACTGTTTGAAATTATACTTAGATTTTATTCCATTATATAATTGTTTGGAAAACATTTCTGATTGATATAAATTCTCAGTTTTCTACATTATTTTGTTCAGCATGCGTGATGGAGGTCCTTAAAATACAATGAGGATAATATTGAGTTAAAATGTGCTATACCTTGTGCCAATCTGATATCTGAAGTATGATAGGCCTAGATGAAGGAAAACAGATGCATCTTTGATTCCCGTGCAAATGATATAACGAAAGCGTATTTATTTTATTAACGTAGACGTGTGTCGGATGGGCGAGGGTAAGCGAGGTCCTGCTAATAGTTTGCCAAGCTGATGATCCAATGGTCCTAGGGACTCACAACACCGAGGTCCGTCCTCCAGTAATTTGTTGTGTATCCCACAATTCGTTTCGGTGCGTCTTTTGTGAGCGGAGGAGCGACCTACGTGCTCGGCGAGTGTCTGCGGTGCATCTCTGCAGAGCCTTGGCAAGGCGACAGCGACACACATTCGGGGTAACCCGGGGCTGCTCGGGAAGGACCATCCCAACACGGGGCTGGATATTATTACATCGAATGCCTTTTTTTTAATATCCGTCTATAGCGTGAACGCCGATTTAATTTTAAACTTGCCGGTTAATGCGATGACTATGTAATCACTTTCAGGAGCCGATTAAACATCATCCAACTGAAATCGCATTTCTACCCGTATGTTCAATGAAGAGGATTGTATTTTGTCGCCACCGAAGCGAGCGCTTTTGAACACCGATTATTTGTATTTTTCTTAGATTTTTTCCCCCACATCTGACTCCCGAATGGGGGCTTTGTTAAGGAATATACATTGATCAAGAAAATAGGAAAATCTGTCGAGTTCAGGAGGAGATCGGAGTGTTTTTTCATCCGGGAGCTGGGGATAATATGTCCAGAAGAAAACAGACCAACCCCTTCAAAGTTAATTGTAGGTATCGCAGGTATTGTAATTGTTTTTTGATCGATACAATGTTTCATGTGCCAGCGCGACATTTGTTGCGACGGCTGTCCTCGGCTGCCGTAACCGGCCGTGGCAGCTCCGTGTGCCGTACTTCCCATCTTTTTACCCCCCCGTATCGGCTGTCCATGGACATCTCTTAAACGCTGGCCGTACAACCACATCAATTTCACTGCCGATCTTGGTGTATTGCACGGGTTTAGGTGGTGATACGGCAGTCAAAGGCGGAATAGGGCTGCCGTTTTGAGATGCCGGTGGCTGGTTCGATGTTGCTGTCGTCGTAAATCCCATAATATTCTACACACCTTTTGTTAAGTGCTGCATTTAAACACGCCGGTTTGTCACGCGTCCTGCTACGGGACGGGATGCTGATTACTGTTTTCATTTGCATCGCAAATAACACGTCTTTCGTTAGGCTACATGAAAGGCACATGGGCTACCGACAAAAAAATGATAGCATCTATGAATGAGTTTTAGCGCATTAAAAATTAGTCAGCCAGCGACGTCAGGTTCCCACGCATCACTCGCAAAATGCTGCAGGTCTAAGGTAGCGTTTTCTTTCTGTAGTGTAGTGCAAGTACATTAAAATTAAGTAACCTGCCGTTTGAAATTTATATTTGGTGGACATGGAAGGGACGCCTGCGGTAATAATCAACATATGAAAATAAATTCTCAGTATGAAACTAGATTTGCATACGACCTTTACACTGGTATACAAAGCAGAACGATGTAGCTATGGTTTGAGACCTTGTTTAAAGAAATATATATGGCCTTTATGTTTTCAGTCATGAATTTAAAGTCTGTAAAACGTTTTTTTTATGAAGGAGGAAAACCATTAAAGATTGATTGAGAACTTACTTGGAACCTACATTTCAGACACTAATATGCAGGTCTTAACATGGTGCTATCCTGACTAGTAATGTACAGGCATGTAGCGAGTGGCCGTTGACAGTTTTAGGATCCCTGGAGATTTTTGTAGTCTCTGTACAGCGACTCCTGAAAGCCTACAGTTATGGTCAGTTTGAATCCTTACATTGCCAAACCCATTTTCAATGTCCACCGTTAGCTTAGGAATGGCTATTACAGCAACAAGACTCTGGATTCCCCAGTACTTTATGCAGCCAAATTTCAAGTACAGTCACAGAACAAGCCAAACTGTGCCACCTCAAGGAAACTTGCTTTGATTACTACACTGTACTCAGTAAATACTTGGAGCTGAGGCTCATTAAAGCATTTACGTAGAGTATAATGCAGTTCTTTCAGAGTATCTTAGGCTAGTAACCTATTCAGAGTCTTCCGTTAACAAAGGTGCCCTTCATGGTTGGTTAGCTCAGCTACCTGCTGCTGATATGGACGTCTTCCATGAAGACATGGGTCTCCTTTACCGTTGACCCTGTTGACCAGCAGGAAAAGGCTTTGTTGGCGTTAAAGTCACGGTCAGCATGTTGACCGCGTCAGTGCACCTTCCTGGAATAAGGCAGGAGAACTCACTGCAATCCCACACGAGTGAGGGGGTTCGGGGCCCGGCATGCTGGGATGAGGTGACCGCGCCAGTGAGATCATTTAAAGTCTGCTTTTTCCGCCACTTCACAGCTGACCGCTGCCCGGGTGTGTTTACGTTCTGAAAAATATTGTCTTTCCGTGCCGGCTCTGCTTATGGGGGGAGACTGGGGAGTCAGATATCGCCGGTTCCCCTGTTGTCAGGCGGCCGTTGACATGCATGCCCGTCTCCATGTTACCCGCCACACGGGACGAAAGAGACACACTGGTTTTACTCAGCCGTGGCATATTAGTCATGGCCACTGACTAACCACTCCGTCACCTGAATCTCACCCTCGGTTTGTCTTCTCCACTCCCTTCCCTATACATTCTCTTACTTGAGCCATGATGGTTCATACCAGGGAAGCCCATACAAGGTGCTATTAGGGATTTGGATCCCTTCAAGGCCATCGTAGGTTACGCCCTTCAGTAGTTAGCAGCCCGCCCTTAAGCGTTTATAACTGTTTGCTAAAATTTGGCTCTTTTTCAGAACTCAGTGCTTAGTTATTAGACAGAATCTCCTGCCATGCCTGGAAGGAGGAGCTCAAAAATGCCGTTCAACGTGGGTGCGAACCTTGGCATTGTGTGTGTGTAGACATCTCTGGATTTTACCTCAGGTCTTTATTTGTTTTTTGGTATGTTGCCGTAAAACACCCTCTGTAACATACAGCTTTTCTCTTCGGCACGTTAAAGCTGATTTAGGTTTTTTGGTGTCAGTGTAAGGATTATATTGCAGAAAGTATGGCAAGTAATATTCATATTTGCATCGCATTTAACTGTCAACACGACAGCAGCTACTCCAGCTGGTACAGTGTATCTTTAGTTTTAGCACTTTAGTGAGACCGAACAATGTTTCTGGAATCCGATAGTCCTGGCCCTCCCAGGTGGGTGGCGTGTCGGCAAGGAGATGCCCAGCAGGGGAAATCTAATCACGCTTCTTGCGCTCATTTAGGAAGGGGGGGTTGGGGAGCCATCGGGCGGCGGTCTCGCAGTGCATGCGTCGTCGGCTGCGACATTCATGAATGGCTCCTTCACTCTCCGCAGACAGACCCGGCCGCTCGACTTCCTGCTTGCTTCGTGGACTTTTCCCATGGTCGGAGGTGTGATAATTTTAGATGTAGCATTTGATCCCAGCAGGCCCCGTGGGGAGAAGGAACTTTTGGAGAAGCGGGAGCCCAGATCATGTGACCCGTTGTCTGTCTGAAATGGAGCTAAGAAGCAGATGGTTGTGGGTTCGGGAATCATCCACTGCTTCAGCTCCACGCAGGCCAGAAAAATGGAGAACCCCGTCCATGACTGGAACATGACCCCCCCAGCTGCTGTTCCCCTATGGTTTCTGTAGGCTGGGGTATGTGTCTCTGTGTCAGGGGGTTGGGGGGCAGGGAGAAACGGTGTTGCAATTTTAGAGCACCCTCCTGCCCAGCGCCTCTGCAGCTCAGTATTTCCCCATTGTGTGTTTAGCCAAAACCCGCCATTCCCAAACTACCACTGCGGGCGCACTGCGAGCGCACTGCAACCTGCTTGTCGGCTGACGAGTTTGCTTCTTTGTCTGGTTTTACTGAGACACTGCGTCACCGCCTGCCTACAGACACACAGACTCGGAGAGATAACATCAGAATGATGGTGGTGGGGTGGGGAGGAAGGGAGAGACAGATGTACAGACGGCACTTGTGGGGGGGGGGCAGTTCTCATACATCAATTGCAGGGCTGTGCCATCGATGTGGCGGCTCTGGATCTGGGGCTGGCAGCGAAGGGCAAGGTGCTCACCGCTTTCGGCTCCTGGAAACCCGAGAGTGGGCGGGGCCTCATGTGTGGCGGCAGGCCGGCGCCCCCTGCACCCCCCACGTGTTTTTGTAGGCCATAATTCATGCGAACGGTTCCGGGTGAGCGAGACGGGAGCCCACTGTGTACCCAACAGTGAGAAGTGTTGAGGCTGGATGGAATTATAACAGTGTGAGGGAGTCTGGGGACTTCTGGGGGACAGGGAGGGGTGTGTATTTAATTTGACTTCCTTCGCCGCCCCCACCCCAAAAAAAAATAGACCTTTACATTTAAATTATTAAGTTGTATCCCCCCCAATATCAAACAGGCACTAGAGGGACATAGGGACGAGTAGAATGTGCAGGAGGGGTCCGGTTAAGGGGGGGGGTCTGACAGAGGCATTCCAGAGAAGGAGCCGGCCAAGAGATAAGTGGGGGTTCTTGGTGTGTTTGGGAGAAGCGGGGGAAGGCGGGCTAGACGGAGGGGCCCGGGGCGAAGGCGCGAGCAGATCCCCAGGGCCGCGTCACTCAGGAAGGCTGGTAGGTCTCCAGGCTTCCTCTGGCTGTGGAGATTAACGGAGGCAGCCGTGAGACGGGCTGTCGAGGTGGGGGTGTGTGAGGCCAGCCTGGGCGTGCATGAGCGCCAGGGTCATGAGGCAGCGAGGTACAGCCGCATGCCGCAGGATATTCTGCATTTTTCATTTGCGCGCATGCGCCAGTGTGTGTGTGTGCATGTGCATGCGAGCCCTGCGGTTCTTGTGGAGGTATTCTCGCCCGTTAGCTCTGGGTAACCACGCCATCCTCACGGGGGAGTATTTTTTTCAGTCCTACGCATCCAGGGCTGCAGCACCACATGCAGATCACTGCAGCGTCGCTCTGCATGCAGGATTGCACTCCCACCAGGCAGGAACTGCAGTTCCCCCACATTTAAGCTATAGACCATATGTTCTGAGATCAGTTCTGGTGATTGAAGCCATTCACCAGCCCCTGTTAATTAATGGCCGTGTTTTCTTGAAATCCCCCAACCCTCCAGACCCCCTGGATCATACACAAAGATTTTTCTTACATGTGATCATTTTGTATCAGGTGAACGGAGAACTTCTTGAACCTTCCTGGAAAATGCCACCCCTGACATTTCTGTTCCAGGTTGTACTGATGACCAAGCAAAGTAAAGCTGTGCTGTACAGATTTTGATAGATCTCAGTGTTAACATCAGTATACCTGTCTGTAGTTTTAAGAATATCTATGTTCCCTTGTTTCTTGTTAATATTCTACCAAAGAGAATTGCTATACTGAAACATTTTCATTGAAACATTTTCCACAATAGATTATATTCCTGGAAATACATGTGCTATTAAAAACTAAACAGTGGTGCATATGTACAGCAGTAAAACAGTAGTGTAGATGATAACAGAAAGCTTAGTAAGTGAGAGTAAGCTGCAGTGAGAGAGATCAGGATGCTTGGCCCCGCCCCTTTTAGTAAGCCCCGCCTATCATTGTCTTGGTAGAATCATTATTACTTACCGTCCAGTGTTGGGCATGTATTCACGCCACTGAGAGGCTCTCCTGCCCCTTCCCAGGGTCGTTCCCCATAGCAGGGCTATCCGGCCCTGAGCACACAATGAACACTGAGGGCAGGGAAGACTTTGCCGAAGACAGCGAGTGTCACAGCAACAATTCCCAGGATCCGGGGGAGCAGGACAGTGTGACTGGTGAGTACAGGGGGCTCGGGATGCCGGGTGGTGAGGAGGAAGCCCCAGAGGGGGGTGCTCTCGGGTAGCCCTGGTGGGGCCAAACTCGCCGAGTCTGCCGGCGATGACAACACGGTCTCCTATCTGCGCAGACGACAGCGACAGCGATCCAGACAACCCTGGCGAGGACTCCTCCTCAAACACGTCGGCCGACGACAGCATGACGGGCGGCAAAACCGGCCACTGCTCCCTGCAAGGGGGGGAGGTGAAGGAGGTGAGCCGACCCCCAGACCTTCATGTCCGGGGCTTCTGTTAGGAGGCCGTCCGCCTCCCCCTGACTAAAGCTCCCTCACTGTCACAGCAGTGTATCACAGATCCCCCCCATGTTGACGCAGACCTCCAGCTTCCTGGATGGCACTGTACCCCTACCCCCCCCCCAAAAAAACTGAGTGTCAGTGACCGCTTCTCTGAAATTGGCTTTCAGTCAACTATCGTTACATTTAGTTTTTAGAGACATTTATCCAAAGCACTGTACATTTATAAAAATAGCAGAATAAGAGAGTTGATAGGGCAGTTGGGGGTTAAGTACCTTGCTCAGGGGTCTTATGGTAAAACCACTCTGCTGACACTGGGATTTGAACTGCTAACCTTCCGGTGACCTGTCCTGAATATACTGATAGGATAGGTACAGGTACGGCACTGAATGCCCTGTGACTTACCGCCTACGTCAGAGCTCATCAAAAACGGTTCCACACAGATAGCATGCAGGTGCTTGCTTCCAGAGCTAACAGTGCCTCCGCAGGCCAGAGTGTGCAGCTGACTGGGCAATTCTGATAGTCATGTGACGCCCCCCCCCCCACTTGTCCCCCAGGAGAGGGAGGAGGGAAGCGAGTTGGGGAACAGCTACCTGTGTCCACTGTGCACCCTGGAGTTTGGCAGCCCAGAGCAGCTCATCGCTCACGTTTATCAGGTAAAGAACCCGGAGTGGGTGGGGGGGGGGGGGTGTAGCTGGCAGCTGCAGACATGGAGTAGCGGGATAATTTGGCGGCGAAGCATCTGCGCGCGGTTTAACAGCACGGCTCCCTGCACGGCCAAATCTGTGTAATTATGCTGTCATCTCGCTGCGTGATGGAAGCATGAATTTTCCCATCCATCCCTCCTTCGAATCACAGCGCCGTCGTTGTCTGGAATCAGGTTGGTTAATGTCCCATCCCCCCCCCCCCCCCGGCAGCACACGGCGACGGTGGGCAGCAGTAAGAGCTACGTGTGCCCAGTGTGTGGCCGTGCCCTCAGCTCGCCCGGATCCCTCGGCCGCCACCTCCTCATCCACTCCGAGGACCGGCTGTCCAACTGCGCCGTGTGTGGGGCGCGCTTCACCAACACCAACAACTTCAACAGGTCTGCCCCCCGCTTTCTGAAAAGCACTATATAAAAATAAATTGGGTTATTGGGGGAAAACATTATATAACAGTTCTTAAAGTTTCCTACACAATATGGCTAAGGATCCCAGATCTGACCGGAAAGCAAAATGCAAGCTGTTTGACATTTCGAACGTGGACGAGCTGCTAGCCACACGGCTGGCAGAAGCATCTGGTTCCAGCCAGTGGTGGATCCTAGCAAGGACAAGATGGGCTATTGCCCAGGGCATCATCTGAGGCAGCCCCTACCCCCCTTCCTCATCTGCCCTGGCAGCCGTTTCCAGCCCCACTCTGACAACTTTTACCGTCTCCACCCACCCCAGTCTAGAAAAGTCTGGAACTTTAAAATGGAAAGTGCGTCAGAACCCTGAGATTTAGATACTTCTTAATGATGGCAGTTAATAGCAGGAATATTCTGTCCACCCCGCTAACGATTTCTCCTGGGTCTTCCGGCATTTTCCATGCAGGGAGAAGCTGAAGGAGTTCCTGAATGCGGGCAGCGGAGAGAGCAGCAGCGGCGATGAGGCATGCGGCCTGTCGCAGGTGTTCTCCAGCGCACCCATGGCTGACGGCGGCCCAGGCGCGACGCTGCCCTCGCTGTCCGACAGCCTCCTGTCCCCGGGCCCCGCCCTGCCCTCACTCCCAGATGGCCTCAGCCCCCCCGGGGCTGGGCTGCCCCCGCTGGCCGATATCCTGGGCCCTACTCCAGTCTACCCGGCCGGGGTGCTACTGGTGTGCAACACCTGCGTGGCATACCAGCAGCTGGTGGAGTCGCAGTCGCCGTCCACGCGTAAGTGGGCTGTGCGGCGCAAGAACGAGCCGCAGGAGGCACGCGTGCAGCGGCTGGAGCGCGAGCGCACCGCCAAGAAGAGCAAACGGGCGCGCGAGACTGCTGAGGAGCGGGAGATGCGGCGGCTGCGCGACCGCGAGGCCAAGCGGCTGCAGCGCATGCAGGAAACGGAGGAGCAGCGGGCTCGCCGGCTTCAGCGCGACCGCGAGGCCATGCGTCTCAAGCGCGCCAACGAGACACCGGAGAAGAGGCAGGCGCGGCTGGTCCGCGAACGCGAGGCCAAGCGGCTCAAGCGGAGGCTAGAGAAGATCGACCCGTCGCTGCGGACACAGATCGAGCATGACCCTGCCGCCATGGCCGCCCTCACTGCAGACATGAGCCTCTTCCAGTTCCCCTGCCCCATGCCCTGCCCCCCGCTGGACGCTGGGCTCCTAATGAAGCTGCCCTAGGGCCGAGCCAGCCTGTACCATGTTCTCTCCTATGGGGGAAGGAGACAGGTATGCTGAGCTGGCTTGTACCACGTTCTCTCCCATGGGGGAGGGAGACAAACGTGCGTCACATCCACCTTGGGGAGGGGGGGACACCTCCCCAGCAAAGCACGCCCAATCAGGTTTGGCTCTAGCTTCAGGCGTCCAGCAGTACTACCTTCTGGACGTAAACTTAAAAGGATAAACACAGGGTCGAATCTCTCTAACCCCTCCCCCACACCCCAACCCTAACCTGAACTCTATGACATCATCAAGCATGCCCTGAAGATGATGTGCTGCTCTCCTGAAATGTCATACCCACTCTCCCCACGCCAAGCGCCTTGAGCGGGGGAGGGACGTCGCTCGCGACGGGATCCACATTCCACCCCTCACCCCTTCCATCTGCCTGCCTGCCGTTTCCCGGACGCGCCCCCCCCAGCTGCCACTGCAGGTCACTGGCAGACTCACACCGACTGAATCCACATCTACCTCGCGTGAGGGTCTCGCGGTGCCCTCTTTTGCCCCTGGCCCTGTTCCGGACAGCTCCGTCGAGAAGTCGACACCACATCCTCCCGGAAAGCACTCTTCGCCTCACTCCTATGTCCTCCTCAAACCGGAGCCAACTCCCGGCGCTGCGTTGAGAAGACATTGACGGTTGGCGTGACTTCAACTCCTGTCTGTTCTCAAAAGAAGAAATCAGCGTCAGTGACCCAGGAGCCTGTGCAGTCTGCCCACTGCTGGCCTGGAGGACCCCCCCGGTCTCCCCCGCCCCCCCAAGCCTGTGGACCATGTACCTCACTGGTTCGGGACCCAGCAAACACTGCCAATCGCTAGTGTCTTCTCGCTCTCCTTATTGGTCACATTGACCTCCCTGAACCTGATTTTGCACATTGCTCCATGTAGGCTTCTGAGTGCTCCCAGGACATCCCAGATTCCCGGAAGAGGCCCAGTGAGAAACTTGGATGTCTTTAGCTGCTGTGTGTGTCCATTACCTCTATGAAGCCAGGAGGAGCTCCGTACTCCCTTTACGGGAGCTTGAGTCAGGAGCCGGGAGACACCCCAAGGAGCTCCCTTCCTGGCCCCCCTATGAAATGCATGCCCACATGGTCTTTGTCACGGATAAGTTCTTTTTATGTTATGCCCTACCCCCAATGCCTTTTAATTATGGATTGTAACTTATTTGAATGCTCAGTCTCTCTTGATCAATGACTAATGAAAGAATCTATTTGGTAATACAGCGTTTCAATGATCTAATTTGTCATCGTTCGGCATTATAATTGAACTGCGTCAAAGCAGAGAAAATCCGGTCATTACCAGGCTGCCAACCCGTTGGGAGTGATCGTTCTCATGAGATGTTTACTGAAGCTTCACCGAACGCACTACGGCGCCCGGTTCTGTTTGGGCCGTTCCAAGGAGGGAACCAGTTCGCTGTTCAGAATGGGCGCGGCCTTCTTCGGAAAGGCGGTGGTCTTCTTCGGAAAGGGTGCAGGTTTCGTCGCTCTGTAAAGCCGGCACCTGGGGTGGTTCCAACCGCTATGCAAATGACGGGAAAATGACACTTAACTATGCAGATTGCGTGGCAAAAATGGGCACAAGCGTAACAAAAAAAATATATAGATATATATATATATGCGTATAGATACCGTGCAACTGCAACTCAGACAATGCAACTCTGTGGCGCTGTTGTGGAGCCTGAGCTCTCAGATGTGACGGGACAGAGTCTTCGGTAACCATTTTACCTCCGGTATGGAGCCGGTCTGCATGGTTCCGGTGCAGACCTGCAAGGATTACAGGCCCGGGAGACCAACTCCAAGCTGAAGCCTCACACTCAGTCACAGCAACTCAAGCGAGCCAACTGTTTAGCAACAAAATCCTCCTGTAAGCTGTTGTTTTTGGCATCCACCTGTTTATTAGTGGGAACTCATTTCTGAATCCGTTTCACTACGTGCATAAATTACCTCAGTTTCCCTTTACTGTATGCTGCCTGCACGCTAGAGGGTCGCGCATCATCACCGTCTGTGAAGCCGACCAATCCGGACACGCGTGCCGAGCCGGGGACCCACGGCAGCCAATCAGCACGTCCGGGATACTTTGAAGTCTGGCGGCGGGATCCCGGGGGTGTCCGCCCCACCCCGCCGCCAGACTGGATTAGCTCAGCACTGCATGTTTGCAAAATTACGATTTGAAGCGACGCTCGTCAAAGTATGTTTCTAGCGTCTGACAGTGACGATATGCTTGCCCTTTTTTTTTCCCCCCAAAATGTTCTGGCCTTCTGCTAGATTTTCAGGAAGATCAATGTTCATGTTTACAAAAAAAAACAACAAACCCTGACAAAGGCCAAAATAAAATGATTGAAAAACAAAACAAAAAAAAAGATGGATGGGTGTGTCATTCTATGTGGGACCCAGTTCTGGACTAAGATGTACAGGTGAAAATAAAACACCAGGGAGTTTTTCTTGTGTCTCCATGTGTCTTTGGGTCCCTGTTTCTGCACCATGTGAACAGAGAACATCTTATAAAATAAAATACCCTAGATTTGCTCTATAACAGTGTTTCTCAAGCCAGTCCATGGAGACTCCCAGACAGTCCACATTTTTCCTCCCTTCCAACATCCATCACACCTGAACCAATCAATCAAGAACACCGGATACCTGGTAACACAATGACAGTACAACACACACCCTTGGAGCAAAAACTGACTGCTCTGTATCTAAGATGCATTCTGGCCGTGTTCTCTCTTCAGACGCATGCTTTCATCTTCCACAAAAGGCTCGTTTGCCAAGATGAAGTCATGGCAAAAGAGAATGTGCTTCGCTCGCCTTGGGTTTCCATTGCGCTGAAAAATAAGACTTTAACACCCACTGGAAAGGCAGATTTGAGCACCCTTAAGTCGGATCCTAGCAGAGTGTTCGCAATTCTCAAACGTCAGCTGCAGGAATAACCTCCAGTACTTCTGAAGTGCTTAGGTGAACTGTAATCACGAGCCAATTAGGGTAGGAGAGAATCTGGTCTAAGGGGTGAGGTGTTGCTTTTTGAATATGGGTGCGTCCTGAGATAGACTGGCATCCCATCCAGGATGTCACCTGCTTACGATGCCTGGCATAAGCCCCAGGCTCCCTGTACTGGAAAAGCAGTTGGATAGTTGGATGGATGGATGGATGGATGGAATGACAGACCAGTTACAGAGAAGAAAGACACCCACTCCAGTCAGGATAATATTATATCTATATATATTATGTGTTTACTTAACAAACATGATAAATGCAATGTTCCATAAGAAGTTTAGCTGTAACAATAAAAATACAATATCTTTGTGTCCTTAAGTACATCGAATTAGAACAGCGAAAGAAAACTAAAATCAGCCCTAAGTCACAAAAAGGTACAAATATACAGTACAAATCTATTTTATTCAAAACAGGTACAAATAAAACGCAACAAAATATAGTTATTAATGCTTTTGAAAGTTCAGGTAGGTGTAGGGTATTCTAAGAAAAGGGAGCACTTTAGGTAGACAATTCTAAGGCTTCTGATAAGAATTAATACATATTGGTACAGTCATAAGATATTAAAACTCACTATACAAAGTTTATACAACCTGGATTATACTTGAGGATTCAATATTACATTTACATCATTGCATATATTTTGTCGTTTTTATGCATTAAAGAAAAAGATGCCTTTTAATGTCACGTCACATGAAAGCAGTGTCATATAGTGACCGAAACTACATTTCCTAAAGTGATACTACATACAGTCTAAATCATTGACACCTTAGATCCATTCCCTGCTTTGATTTAGTCTCTCGCCACCCTCGCGACGGACACACCTCACTCAGGACCAACCCCAGCCTTCCCCTCGCCATCCCCCTTAACCGTGCAACTGAAGCCGATAAGGGAAGTGACTGAGCGTGCTTAATTAATTCCTTCACCTCGGCACACGAGTTAGTCGTGAATAAAAGGGAAATCTATAAACCCACAGGACTGTGGCCCTGGAGGTCTGGAATTACCGCCCCCTGAGCTACGACACGCTTTGTTTCCACAAGACAAGCAGACACACACGCGAAACGGCTCTAAAATCAACGGCTTTCCTCCCGGATTTTGTGGTTTTTTTAACTGTTAAAAAGGTTGCTTTCTCCTCTGTCCAATATGAACTTCTGGGCAGGGGGAACGGCGAAATATTCAACTCCTGTCCTTGATAGTCACAGGGATCCCAGTTTCTGCTTTTCTTTAACTTCCAAATTGTTTTCCATTTACATATCAAACGCTTTTATCTAAAGAAATTTACAGCAGACAAAAGCATTACAATTTATGCATGATCCCTGGGATTCGAACCCATGACCTTTACATTGTCAGCATAATGCTCCACGTGTTGAGCTATTATTATATTACATCTAACTGCTTGGCAACCCTCCCTTTCTTTTACCTGAATATTTTACTGGGATACAAAAGGTGTTGCAGCAGGGTTCCATCCAGCCACTCACAGGTCACAGACAGTATTCTTTACACCCCCGGCTGACCAGGCTATCTGGATTACTTTGTCACCCCACCCCACCCCAGCCTGTCAACCAATCCAGTGTCAATTAAAACATATTCTTAAACCTGTAGGCCTGAGGGCTCGAGGACCTGAGCTGGCAACCCCAGTTTTACCCTGGCAGGGATGGTGAGGATATCTACTCGCCAATTTGTTGTAGATTACAAACGTCACAAAAAAACAAAGACCTCAGATCTGAGGGCTGGATGAGTGCAAACAGGCTGCCCCGTCATGCCACTAGAACACAACACTCCTGCCCACCAAGTCAAAAATCAGCGTCTTGTGGAAACAAAGCCACTTTTTGGCTGAAATGCGTCAGATTTCTACCCAACCCTACGCCACCTCTCCTGGGCACCAAGCATTAGTCTCCACTCCGCTACACGTCTACATACCTAGACAGGAGTCTTAACTTGAAATATTCTGATCTCTTGCACTGTGGGAGGGAGGGGGGGGTCACTTGAGCCTGTCACTGAAACATTTAACAATTCTTAAGGCAGTACTGACAACCTTGATAAAATACAAATCTTACAACATTTTTATATATAATATATACAATATATATTATATATAATATACATATGCAATCCGTTAACCAACAGTTTCCTTATAACACCACAAGTTAAGGGAAATTAAGTGCAAGATCTCGTTTCATAAAACACATAAATAATTACAGAAAAACATGCAAGTGAGGTTTTGTCAAAGTGCAGTTTCTAGTTCACCCCTTGTCCACTGATATACCTGTAGAGGGCGCTGTACAGGTGCGTGTGAATGTGTGTGTGTGTGTGCGTGTGTGTGTGCGTGCATGTGTTAATGCGGGCACATGCGCGCGTATGTTAGCGATGTGTCAGACAGCTCATTGGATGGAAGGTGTCACATGCTACTGAGCACAGAAAGAAGCAGTCAAGTTCACGGCCAATCATGTACAAGTTAAACACCCTTCACTGAGAGAAGCTCGTACGATGCAGTGATTTTGCGGTGTAGCGTTCAGTTTTACACCAACCTCAAGCTAGCTGTGCAATAACCATATCCTCCTTAGCAACCACTACTGCCTTGTATCAGAGCCTGCAAGGGACTCTGAACCCACCCTGAAATGGGACCCAGTGGTGTTGGAGACCCAACAGCCCACTGTTTGGACCATGGCAGACACACACTCTCTGAACAAGGACATGCTGATGCTAGATACACACACTGCACAGCGCCACTTGACTACAATTTAGAAATAAATTATTTAATAGAGGAGTATCATACAAATTTGTCACAATCATTGGATGTGCTGCAATCCACTGTGGTCTTAAAAGTAAAATGAGTTTGGTCCACTTTCTCAAACATGACCTGTACCTGGACTCTGCTTTGATAACGAGTGATTTCGGAACAGCTGGCCTCCCTGTAAGCAGCGCGAGGATGGGGCAGCATTACAAACGCAGGGGAAGATGGGGCCAAGCTGGCCGGGGGCGGCCCAGACGAGCCCCACTCTCAGTATCCGCCACTTCGGACGCCGTGATCCGAAAGCCTCGGGTCACACCTACCCCCCCCCACCCAACATGCAGCAAAGGCATGAGCTACGGTCCATGTGACGAGGCAGAAATGTGGGGGGGCGGGATGCACAGATCCAGCACTGCAGAATGCACGTGCAATCGGGGGTATCTGTCAGCATTCGGGGGAGGGGCTTCACAAACCACACCCAATCGGGGCTATCCAATACCAATCAGGGAAGGGGCTTCACAAACCCCTCCCAAATTCAACTTTCCCTACCCAACTATTAGAGTAATGGCATTGACTAGTGACATCACTGTACAATGACGTAATCAATACAAGTTTATATATATATTTATATATTATATAAAGAAACACCCTACCAAACAGTTGGTAGATATAGACAATGAGGAAAATACTTCATTTCTCTTACTGCATAGCAAATACCAAATCTATAGGAAAGTAATAATATGGTCTTTATGTATTTAATCTAAGGATATTGCTTATAGCATAAATGTTGTGACCTAATGGATTTATAAATACATTAGTCATTTGTGACATAAATAACACTACTTTAAATGGCTACCGTTTCTTTACATGAAAAATACATACGTCTGCTGTGCATACTACCGGGGTGGGGGAGTGGGGCTGGGAGTCTTTTTAACACTTAACACGGGAGCATCAGCGAATCAGAACGCACCGCGGTGTCACGTGACCATCTTAACCACAGCAAGACCCCAGTGCTCTCACACTGCAGTGAACCAAGACCCAGGAGAGGGGAATGGAAAGCGTGGAAACAAAGCGGAAATATCCAGGTAACCAAGGCTAGCGGGAATGTGACGCGACTGTTTTGGAATGGCCTTCCTGACGTCAGTATGGATCTATGTTCTTTCCACCCTCCGTTTTAATTGCACTTGATTTTAATTTAGGAATTTAATATCTGTTACAAGTGAATGCAGCATTTGTGGCTGTTAAGTTTGTAAACAGTGTCAACCAACCCAATTCTGCTTTTCTGTTACTTAAAAAATAATGCTAGAACACGAAAGGACATCTGTACTGTCACCGCGTCTCATCGGTCACAGCTATGACACAAATCGTGACCCGGACGTGAACGAGATTTTACGGGCTGCTGGGAATATTGCCAAGACTGGAAAAAGCTCAAAATAGTCGAACTGTAAATTAAAGAAAAGGACACCAGCATACAAAAAACACATTTTCTCCTTACGACAAGCATTCTGGCTTCTGGCCTGGGCTGATTATGCCTTTTAAACCACAGAATTTTACACTGCTACATTCCTCCTCTTTCCCCTGACTCTCTGCTTACAACAGTAACTGAAACAATAACAAAAAAATAGACAAAAAACTTTACAAACCAAATGACCATAAAATTGTGCATTTGTCAGTGAGACACAGGAAGTTTTTAGGTCAGAATTACAAAGGGCAATAAAACCATGACAAGAAAAACCTCGACAGCTGACTGAAGGAAATCTGTTATTGCTTTGCTAACGGTCACTGGGCATCCAGGATGTGACAGGATGTGTTTTTTGGGGATCATATTTCTAAAAATCAAAATAATAATTGCAACCATATCGATACCCATTACAGTTAAAGGCTCTCAATAGGATACAAGTATCTTTGGAGGATTTGCTTCCCACTGATGCATCATACTCCCCTCCCACACTCCCTGGCCCCTCCCACCAGCCTGCATGCACACCAGGGTCAGATGCCCTATTGATGCTACGCCGTCTGCCATCTTGGCTGTCTCAGAAAGAGGCGACTCGAGGAGGATGTACCCGTTTCCGTGGTGACACCGAACAGTCAGAGGCCAGGCTCCTGCCTGGGCTGAGGTATCGAGAAGGCGTTGGGTAGGGGGCGGACGATCCCTTTGCTACGGCAAGCCCTGGGGGGGGGGGTCCACGGCGAACGAGGCGGAGCCACGGGCAGAAGGGCACGTGCATGCATTTGTGTACAGTGGGGGGAGGACGGGAGCTTCCGACTGATTGATCTGATTGACATGATTGACAGGTTGATTGACTAAACATGTTCCAGGGCCAACACCCACCCCCATCCTTAGCAAGCTGCCCTATGGAAAGTCGGGAAAAGACGGCGCAGAGCCTCCTCCCTGTGAGTCACGTGCAGCAGATGGCTGTATACGGGGAGGCTCTTAAAAAGTAGATAAAATCACTTAGAGGGGGGAAAAAACACACACACACCACTAGGGTGGCAACGTTTCACCTTCCAGAAACTCCTCCAACTGTTCCGGGAACTAGTCAGCTTTCTCTATGTGCTTTGGCTCCCACTCCCAGGGTAGGTGTGTGGTGTGTGGTGTGTGTGTGTGGGGGAGGGGTGGGGGGATTCAGCAAAGGGACAATGAAAGGGAAACCTCAGGTTTGTGTGTGTGATTTTGGTCGGAGGGAGGGGAAGAATGTCGTCGGTGTGGAAAACACATCAGACGAGACTGGGTAACCCTTTTCCTCTCATTTTGGGAGGGAATGCAGATCTGAAAGCTTTGGTAGAAGATTCAAAGGCTACAGCCAAGCGCGGGACTGAGGGGGGGGGGGCATTCTGGCATGGCAATGCTCGTGCCTGACCTGCCATCGGCATAGCTGAGCGTTCCTTTATGGTTACTAGGGACAGGAGGCAGTCAGAAACCACACCATCAGTGCACAGGGGGGGTTGGGGGGGGCTGTAACTTTGGAGTGTGCAAAAATCAGACATTCGGAGGCGCTCTCTCTCTCGGGGCCACAAGCTCTCGCCGCTATTTCCCGGCATTAGAGCGCCCCTCGATGGACAGCTTGACCTCCTGAGGGATAAAGGAGGGCCGGGAGGGGCCGGCGGAGGCGTGGGCCTCCTCCTCAGCCTTGCTCCCGTATCTTTGGAGGCCGGGCAGTGACCAGCGCCTCTGAGCGCCCTCTAGGGACGGGGCGCCGCCAGGCCCCACGCCGCCGTGGAGATGCCCCTCTGTGTGCAAATAGTAGCCGCTCTGGCTCCTGACAAGCTCCGCCGGAGGTCTCTCGGGCCTGGAGGGGGCAGCAGCGTGCCCCATGCCTCCCACGAGCATGGGCTCCTCCTCGGCCTCTCCCTCCCGCTCGCGGTGAGTCCTGTCCAGCCGGAACTGGACGGGAGGCCGCGTGTGCTGGGGGGCGGGCGGCCCCATAGCCTGGGAGACGACCTTGGCCTTGCCGCTCTTGGCCGAGGCCTGCGGCTGCTGGTTCTGCGGCGGCTTCTGCGGCTGCTGCAGCGTGACGGACACGCACACGTCGCCCACCTGTAGGGGGTGGCAGACCAGCCCGTAGAGCTGCGCCGTCCGCTCCGGGCTGCACGAAGACCAGCCCTGTCCAAAGACGAAGAAGGGGTGCTCCGGGGGCACTTCGATGGCCACCTTGCTCTGCTGCTCGCCCACGGTGAAGTGCAGCGACACCAGGCCGGGCCGCCGCGGGCTCCTGTGAACATCCACCACTATGCTGGAGTCGATCCTGAGGCCGCCGCTGGCCTCGGCGCTGCGCACGAAGTCCTGCGTCTGCAAGTCCTCCACGCGCTTCAGCTCGCCTGTCGCCAACTGAATGATGGCACCTTTCATGAAGTGGGAGGAGCCGCCAGCAGCCACAGGGACCTGCACTGCCGTGGGGGCAGGATGGGGGTGGTGCTGCTGCTGCTGGGCGACCGGCTCGGGGCCCGCCCTCTCAGGGAGGCACGTTCGGGCCGGGGGATCCGGGGCTTTGGTGGCGCCCTCTTCGGGTGGGTTGACGTAATGCTGCGGGTGGCGGTATTCCAAGGGGACAAGCACCTGCTGCCCATTGGCCAGGATCATTGCCTTGTGGGAAAACTGGGGCTGAGGGGGCAGAGCCCGGGGGTCCGCCAAGCTGGTTGCGTGCTCCGAGTACCCGGCCCGGCCCAGATCTGATGCCTCACTGCTAGCCCAGTTGGCCTCCCGGGACCGCTGAGATCCCTGGGACAGGTTCAGCGGGCCGAAGGCTGCCTCCTTGTGGCTGCTGGTAGTGCCGTGGTTCGGAGAGGCAAGGCGGCCCACCACCTGCTGCACCTTAAAGACAGAGACCGGCGTGAGCGAGGGAGATGTTCGAGAGCAGAAGGCCCCCCCATAACCCCCCCCCCCGCGACCACAAGCTGTCACCCACTCACCCCCCCCCCTCCGCAATCTGTGTGCGCCGCATGGCGGCGTCTTGACTCGGATTGCGCAAAACCGCCGAAACACGCCGCGAGTGTGATAAGGAAGGAAGCCGGGGCCGAGTGTGGAAATGGGGCCGTGCGAGCGAGCGTGCAGACAGGATGGAGGAGGGGGAGGTCCATCAATCTGTCTGCAAGAACAACCGAGAGCCACATCTGTCGTTTTTAGGAAGCAATAAAATGCGCTCGAGCACTTCAGATGTCATTTGTAAGAGATCATACAAAGATTTAAACATCTGCATATTTTCCCTACAAAGAAAACAGTAAAGGTCAATAATTAGGGCTGCCAAAGTTAACTCACTAATATGTTAACATTGATTTTAAGTCATAACACTATTATTTCTTTAATCGCCTTCATTTTGATACTCAAAAGGGAGAATAGTATGATCAAAGATTGTTAATAGGGCTGTCACACAGCCAGTTTCTTTAATCGTGATTAATTGCACACTTTGGGGATTAAGCGCATATACAATCACGTTTGCACTGCCATAAAAAAAAAAAAAGATTTTATGATATGTACATTCAGCATGAAAACTGCATTCTATTAAAAAAAAAAATCTTAGCTCGTGAAATTCTGCTATTGGAGTATCAAAATTAATAATCAAAGGAATCATGCGTAATGAGTTTAAGATTAAGGCTAATGTATTAATGTGATAACTGACAGCCCTAATGAAAATCGAAAAGGTGGCTGAGGAGGAGAACGGTATCCAGAAGTCACTGGAATAAGCTTTACGTTTACAATTATTTAGCTTGTACTTTTATCCAAAGCAACATACTTCATTTGAGCGAAGGCAGGATCAAACAGTGGCTGGAGCAATTAGGGGTTAAGGGCCTTGCTCAGGGGCACAATGGGGAAATGATTCTGCCGACCGTGGGATTCAAAGCGGCACAGCAAACCCGCTACGCCACACATCGCCCCAATCACAACTGAATTCAACTGAATTATTCAGCCGGGCATTAACTCAGCACCACAACGCAGTTAAAATACCCCCCAGTGTGTCTTACTTCCAGGTCCGTGTCCGGGGTGCTGCTCTGTGCGGGGGACGCCCTGCCTTCTGGCCTGAAGGGGGCATGGTTTCGGGAATGCAGGCCGTCCACCACGCCGGGGCTGGCAGTCACGTGGGCAATGCGGGAGTTCTTGGAGGAATAGTTGGAGTCTTGCACGGCTTCCCTGGCTCCACGGCCCGCCTCCCCTCCGTTGACCTCCTTCTTGCGCTCCTGCGTGTCCCCGTGGGCGACGGCCAGGGGCACCACCGCTGCCGCCGAGCGGGAGCCCGAAGGGTGGTAAAAAACAGGCACGCCCCGAAGGCCGACATCAGTGGTCGGGAGCCCCCCCACCGCACCCATGTGCTGCTGCGGCGTCTGCTCGGGTGGCAGCATGAGGGGGACGCCCCCGGGGGCGGGCACCTTAGCAAAGCTGTGGGCGGAGCTTTGGGGCTGAGGGGGCGGGGACACTACACCCTCCTGAATGACGGGCGGATACGGCACCAGGTGGGAGACGTGGTGGGGCTGAGGAATCGCAGACTGCGGCGATATCAATGGACTCGGGACAAAGCCGGGGGGAACCGCGTACGGGACCGCGTAAGGGGAACCGACGAACTGCAGAGAGGGGTGTGGGAGCTGGGCGTAGCCGAGCGGGTGGTACGGGATGCCTGCATGCTGGAGGAGGGGAGAGGGCACTGTGTAGGCAGGGGAGATGTGGCTGAGCACCGGGTGCAGGCTTGTAGGGGAGTATGTCACAGAGGGCACGGCGACTTTGTAGACCATGCCATACTGGTCCACGGGGATGCCGTCGGAGTTCTCCATGCCATAATGCAGCCCAGAAGAGACCCTCATCCAGTCTCCCGCAGTGCTGGATGTTTGGGCTTCACTACCCGTGGCAACTGTGCTAGGGGTGGAGGCAGCCTCTTCTCCCCCGCCGACTCCGCCCCCGCTGGTTCCACCTCCGCCTAGCCCCTCCTCCGCACCACTGCTACTGTCCATGGGCAGGTCCCGCTTCTTTGGAGGTAGCCATTCCTGGTGGCGCTCGTGGGTGGGCTTCATGGTGGCGCTGGCTGGGAGGGGGTGAGGGGCGTGGTCTGGGCGTGGTCTATGGGGCAACTAGTGCACGGGGACAAGTTCGGAGATCCTCCTGCGGACCACACTGATCTTACCTGGATGAGGGGGGAAAAAACATGAAAAAAACACTGACTGCCATCTGACTGGGAACAACAACATATGCATCAGGCCCATATATCAACCCGCGGAGAAGGCTCTTCTGACCACGCATTCCCAGCACTGAGCAATACCTGAATTACTCTCTACAGCATCTCTAAAAACAACCTCCAAACCACAACACCAATCCACAAACCAATTACAAGCCTCCCTACCAGCCCTGGTGACGCAGTCCCCTAACCATGGCAACAGGTCATGCCGGTCTGGATGACTTGAGCACCGTGAGTCACAGGATCATCAGTGAACAACTAACCGCCGACCTCAGCGGCCGGAGCACAGAAAGATTAAGATCTCCAACGGCTTTCAAATGACAAAACCTCTGCACCTCCATCTCCTGGCTGAACTGCACTGCTTGTCTTGTGATACTGATGCCATTCCCCTTCGGTACAATCAGACCATAACGCGAAGACCCAATCAAAGGCCTCGGTATGCGTGCTGCGTCTTACTGATGGCAGAGAGACGGATCGGGTCGCTTTCAAATCGCATGCCTACTGAGACATGTGCATCGGCGTCAAGGAGAGGACGGGTGCCGCGATCTAGGTTGCAGCGCTATCTAGGTTAGATCGCCGGGGTTGTTCCAGAGACTGAATGAAAGTAAGCCATGCGCAGGACCCAGCAAGATAAATGAGAAAGAAGAGGGCGCAACCCACGGGTGGGAAAGACACACTGACCGCTGCCTGGGGTGTGGGAGAGTCATTCACAAAGAATGCGGGCTTCACTGCACGCACCCTACTATATTTGGTCCTACTATATCATCGACAAACGTGCCACATCCCGTATCGCACTTTAAAAACGAGTTGTTAAACTTGTTCTCAAAAATTCAAAATATTTTAAAATAGTGCACCATTTTATCAGTTTGACGTCGCTACCAAATCTTACAGTTCCGAAAATCTGAAGATTTATTTAAAACAATATTCAGAAATGTATTTGGGTATAATGTAAAGCCAACGTTTAAGTCTTAGGTGCTTGACGTTAAATTCAGCAGAGTAGCCGAAAACAAGCAAAGCACGAGGATCCCGTAAGTGCTTTAATATCTTTATTGAAACGAAGAGACGGTAAAACAGTCGCCATAAACAGCAACACCCAACATCACCGTACAGCTGTGCCCACTTCACACCATAAAAATCTTACACTTTGCGCTGCGTCTAATCCGCCATCCAGCTAGCAGTCTTTTCACGAAAGTTCGCCTCTGAATCTTTCCCCTCGTAAAGAAAACCTACGATGGAGCATGAACGGGGGAGCCCGATTATCATCCCCGCGAATGCTCACTCCAGCCGGTCAGACAGTGGCGCCGCGGCGGGGGCTGGAGGAGGCCGAACGACGGGGCTCTCACGGAGGAGCTTTCCGCCGATGCCGCCCCACCTCTGCTGGACCTGTCGACGAGGCCGCCCCACTTACCTCTCCATGTCATCGTTACCCTCCGGCCCGAGCTCGATCTTTCTTTGTGGGTTAATCTGGTTAGAAACTCACAGGGGATCCGAGCTGCTAAATTGTGCCCACCTCGGAGCGCAGCAGCCAGGCGAGACCCCAGCGGCGCATGTGGATTGCGTCACCAGGGACATGTTAACTTCCTGGACGGCCTTCGCCACGGCCGCCTCCGGCATCTCCAGGCAGCACAGGCCGATCCTACGTTACCTAACCAAGAGTCGCCATCTGCCGTAGGGAAGCACCTGGTTTTTAAAATACTTTAAATATATTGTAGTATCACAATCTACGTTCTCTTTACGATGGACCCTCCCGAATAGTATTGGCATGAATATGCTTATAAAGTGCATTCAAAAACAGGAATCGTGCCCCATGCTTTTCCGTGTATTTATTTTCAACAATCACCATTCGTCCGACCGCTGATCCACGGCAGCATATGAATAGCCCGAAAGGGATGCCAGTCCATAACAGACCACATACATCCATACGCTCACATGGGCAATTTACAGATGTCAATTCGCTTAAATGTATGTTTTGGGATTGCGGGTAGAAACCCAAGTAGCACGGGGAGAGCATGCAAGTTTTACACAAACAGAGCGGGGACGTGATTCGGTACCGTTCCCCATATAATCAACCGAGACATCAACAATAAAAATAAGCAACAATAATGATGATGATGATGATAATAAGAAGAAATCTCCGCAATCCCATGCGGGATAAACTGTTGAACAGTGGATCGTTGGGTAATATGAACAGCGCGGGGATAAATGGGTGAATCGTGGGTCTTGATAACGTAAGCGGTCTTGGTTACGTGCACTCGCATGTCACGCTGCGTCAGACGCACAGTATTGCGGAAGTGAAGACAGTAAATATTACTCTTCGAAGGTGGAGCTTTATTTTTGGATCGAAACTGTGAGGTAATGTGACTGTTTATCCCCTTATGGTATATTTTGAATGGGTTAATGTATTTGTTTATTGTTCATTCTGGTGGGTTTCAGAGATTTTGACTTTCTAAGGTAGTCTCTGGATTTATTTCAGTTAATTGTGTTAAATGGGAAAGCGCTTCCTGGTATAAATGAAAAATCACGAGACAGCCATTGTGTTTCGGTCTAACTCGTCCCGGCTGCTGTAGGTCGGTTGCTACTAGCTGGTATCATCGTCAGCTGTTTTGTTCCAGCCATTCTGTTTAGCGATGTATCAGTCCCAGCGTAGACGGGGGAAATAAAACAATACAGACACCCCCCCCCCCAAAAAAAAAAAATAAATAAATAAAAATTAAAGGGGCGCTTTCGTCTTTTCTGCTTAGGGGACTCTGATGTTTACTTCATCAAAATAATACGTACTGACGGGGAAAAATCTATACTGGTCTTGAGATAAACATTAAAATATCAGCCAACATTTGTTAAGAAAGGTAAGTAACGTTAGCTGTTTGGGATTGTGTAACTCAGTTCGCTACTTCAACTACAGTGTTTGAGTATTGGCATATTTGTGTTTTATTAACGTTACGTTCGTGTATTTAGTTGAATTTACATTCGTAGGTCTTAGCCTTAATTTATACTATTTGATAGTCAAAACGGAATAACAACCTTAGTTATTATTGTTAGTTTTAATGTACAGCTAATGCTCAGGTGTGTACCCTAACAAACAAACGCTGGACGTCATAACCAATGACATGGAGGAGGTGTTTGGCTTTTAAAGTTATTGTGTCAACGCAGTGACCAATAAACGTTTAAATGGTGGAAATCATTTTGGCGTTCCCTTTACTATATATTGATCATACATCCTTACGAAGTGATACGCTGCTTTAATCCGGTACAACGTGTACCTGGTTATATTGTTATTTAAGAAACATCAGTTTGTTCCACATTTTAAGAGTAGCTTCCACGATTATAAATACCTTTTAACCAGTCTGGTGGTGTGTAGTTCCGAGACTGCGTTTGCTACCTCCTGCATGACCGCTTCCTTTTCTCGTAGTGTCCATCATGCTTGGCGGTGGGTATAAAGCGGAGAGGCTTCGAGTCAACCTTCGGCTGGTCATTAATAGACTCAAGCTGCTTGAGAAGAAGAAAAGTAAGCCCTCTCTTGCCCTACTGCGCACACACTACTGATCTAATTCTGACCGCATGACTTTCGCCTTATTTCCAGCCGAGCTGGCGCAGAAAGCGCGAAAGGAAATAGCCGATTACTTGTCATCCGGGAAAGATGAGCGTGCTCGTATCCGCGTGGAGCACATCATCAGGGAGGACTACCTGGTGGAGGCCATGGAGATCCTCGAGCTGTACTGTGACCTACTACTGGCACGGTTTGGCCTCATTCAGTCCATGAAGTGAGTCAGGAGCTTGACCACAATTTAACTATCTCCTTTTCAGTCACTGCGGATGCATATAAACATGAAATAAAGGTTTCGGCCACTAGGCCTATTGGCATGTTCCATCAATAAACTCTGTTAAAGGTTAGCATACTGTTTTAGGGTGACCAGACAATCCATGTCAGGGAGGACACTTTGAGCTACTTCGGGTTTTACAAACTACTTTCTAATTGAAAGGCTCCTGTGCTCGGCTAAATAGTTTAGCTCTTCTTGTGCTTTGACTGGTTTGTTTCCTTGACTGAAAGACTCATCCAGCTGTTTCACATTAGCATTAGTGACACATGCATGATTATAGGAGACTGACCAATCAGCACACAGCAAGAGCTGAGTGCTCAAGTGAAATCCAGGTCCATTTAATTGAAATGGTAATTTACAATTCCTGTCCTAGCTCAGAGTGTCCTCCCTGACATGGATTATCTGGTCACCCTATACTGTTTAAAAACCCAAATGGAGATTTTAACTATGGTCAGCTTACAGAGCATTCTTGTGAGGGATCACAAAAGTATGATGCATGTGATTGCTGCAAATGTGCCATTATGCAGATTGTTTATGGCACTTTCATAGTAGTAAAGACATGCTGTCCGATGTTGTTATTCCAGTAATTTCCCAGGCTACCATGTACCAATTCCAGTGAATGAATTTTGTTGTCTTTCTAAGGGAGCTGGATCCTGGGTTGCAGGAGGCTGTGTCCACATTAATATGGGCTGCCCCACGCCTGCAGTCAGAAGTATCTGAATTGAAGATTGTGAGTATGATTGTGGACTCTGACTCCCGAAGAACTATATTTATGAAACATTTCTCTATCATGATCACAACCAAGAATAGTGCATAACAAGTACTTTGTGTAATGGCTGGGCTAAGATGATGGTTCACAAACCTGCTCTCTGCCTTGTATCCAGGTGTCTGATCAACTGTGTGCAAAATACAGCAAGGAGTACGGCAAGCTGTGCAGGACAAACCAAATAGGGACGGTCAACGACAGGGTACGCTCTCGCCACAATTCCGTCTTTCCTGTAATTTTAAGTGCCATGCTTGTATAGCCTGCGGAATCATGGAAGATAGTCTCCCCTTTGAATTCTGCCTGGAAGCTGATGCATAAGCTGAGCGTGGAGGCACCCCCAAAGATCCTGGTGGAGCGTTACCTTATTGAGATCGCCAAGAACTACAACGTACCTTACGAACCCGACGCCATGGTCAGGGTGAGTGCCGCTGACTCTCCTCCTCGTCACTCGGCCTTGTTCTTTCCCATTACACTCTCAGAAAAAAGGGTACCAATTTGTACCTTTGCTTGTCACTAGGTCTGTACCCTTAGGGGTCTGCCAATTGTACCCTTAGAAATGGACTCTGGAGAACATCCCCAAGGTACAAGCAACATTAATGTACCCCCATATGGTACAAAAATGTTCCTCATGGTCCATTTCTGTACCTTTCATAAGGTACAATTATCCTTGAGGGTACAGCCCCAGTGACAAGCAAACGTACAACTTTTTCTCTTTCTGAGAATGTACCGTTGGGTATTATTTCGACATGTGTTACCTCCCAAATCTGGTTTTGCCTGTTTAGTCAGCTGATTGCTATTCCCAGGTCAGCTGTCATTGTTGAGTATGTGGCTGGTGGGCCCATCTTTGCAGTCAAATCGGCAAATTTTCGGCAGTGTTGCCGTCACGCTCCTCTCCCCCTCCGGTGTACGCTGAGGTAACTCTGTTTCCCTGCAGCCCGAGGTGGCCTTTGGTGAGGAGGCGGACCTCATTGATGTGGACAGTGACAGCAGAAAGCCAGGTGGCGGGGGTGGCGGCTTCACTGCGCCAGCTGCGGCTGGGTCCGTACCCATGCCCCCCGGGTTCAAATACCCCACCCCCAGTGGATCAGTAAGCAAGCCGCCTGCCTGTAATGAAAACCACACCTAATATCTGACACTGGATAAGCCAGCGGCCTAACCCGCTGGCTTATCCACCCCCCCTTTCTAAAATCATACTGACTCTGGGATGATCACGTTTGGCATAACACTGCAGGGCTCAACCCTTTTGTAAGGATGGAAATCATTCACATCTTTTCTCAACAAGCCTGAAAGGTAATTTTGTGACTCTTGTTGTTGCAGGAGCCCTTCCATGACACTGTGGGAACCTATGATAGCATTCCAAACTTCCAGCCCCCGGTAAGAGGACAGCCCCCCCAGCTTCCGAGTGTTCCCCCCACCTACGAGTCTGTAAGTGGCCGTCACTCGCAAGAGGGATGCCTTTCCGGCAAAATAGTCATTTTTGGTAGAGGTTTTTCAGCCCATACGTGTGACTTGTGCCTCATTGTTACTATATCATGCATTTCGAAGGACTTGGGGCTTGATAGACTCCTACCCTTTGTCATCATGTTATTGAAGCAGTTTCAAAGTTTTTTTTTTTTGTAGATGAAAGAAAAGAGATTGATAGGGTTTCCTTTTCAGATCGATGATTTGGTCATCAAACCATCCGGGCCTGCCCAGGTACCTGGTAAGTTGTTTTTCGGTTTCACTCTTAGCTAGATACGGCTGTCTTTCGCTAAAACCCCAACCTTTGTAAACACGGGGCACAGGGTGTCCTGTGGGCCTACTGAAGCACTCTGCTCACTTTGCTCCAGGTCCAGGCCCGTCCTTCGGGTCATTTGACAACAGCCCCCTCCCTGAGCTTCCCTCTGTCCCTGACACACTACCTGCGTCTTCCTTCGGCCGGAACGCCTCGACTTCCGACGACATCGACTTTGACGACCTCTCGCGGCGCTTTGAGGAGCTGAAGAAGAAGACCTAGAACGTCATGAAGACCAGTCTATTGTTATGGTGACTGGCTAAGGGGCATGAGCCCTGGTCAGATTTAAGAATATGGATTCTCTCTTGCAGTAAATTTCCCTCCCCTGTCTCCTCCCTAAATTCCAATATTATCGTACTTAAACACAGTGAAGCGGTCAGGGGGTGAGCCTTTGGTCGCGCCATTCTTAGTGAACGACTTGATAAAACACCCAGCTGTCAAAGTGTGGAAAAGCCATCGTGGGCCTAATCCCAAAGCTTATAGACAACCACGCTGCCTCGTACCCAAACTATAGTACCCGCTGTTTGATTGACGGCCTTTGAGAGTTTGCCAGAGAGCAAAGAACGCCATCTCATTAAACGTCATGATGATGTTTCTAGCCGTGGTTAAAGATCTTCAGTTGTGAATGAAATAAGGCGTTTCGCAACCAGAAGAATTGCGATGTATCCTAAACATTTCTTGTTTTGACATGTAAGCTTCTTGGTGTTTAGTTTGATCAGTTCTTGAGGTCATGTTTTCTAATCACACTGGAGATTTAATATTTTGTCACACTGAAAGGGGTGGAAGTGTGATATTGCAACCAATCAGCAAATACTTAAAAAAAAATTTAGTAACAGTAATTTAAATGCACATGCTAGGTTAAAGCTTCTACAGGCCATTCTGCCTGATGCTTCCCTTTGTAACTTGCTGTTGGGTAGACCTGCACTTTAACATTGAGGGATTTAGTCTGGCTAAAGATATTTAAGAGAGACTTCATTGTATAAAATCTGAGAATCTGGTTCCTCATTTTCAAATTTCCAGCATATGACATGAACCTGGTTTTATATATCTATATTTGTAATTTGTATGTAGGATCATGGCTAAAGTGATCTGATATATGCATTTGTAAACCAGATTGAAATCAAAAGCTGACATATTACTTTTTCTGATGTTCCTAATGCTGACATTACTTCAGTGCTGCAAGGTTCTAGGTCATATTTTGGTCACATTTGATTCATTGAAAGCTTCAACACCCAAGTGGTTGTAATAATATAATAGAATTAAAGCACTACAAACAAACACTCCTTACCTTACGAAGGTGGTGAATGACTTAGTCCGTTAGGAAGAGGATGGATTTACAGCAAAACAGCCGAAGTCGATTTTGAAGTTACGTTATTATTCTGAGTTCTTTTTATCTCTCTTGTTAAAAATGTTCATTTTCATCTCAGTTATGCCCTTATGCTCTTTATTTATCAAGTGCAGCCTTATATTTATTTTTATGGCTCGAGCTGAAATAAGGTGGTGTTCAAAATTACGGGGCTGGTTTTATATTCTTTTAAATTGTTTCAATGTAGTCCCCTAATCGTATCCTCATATCAGTCATAGCCCAGTTTCGTTAGCGCTTATGCGATCTGTCTCTTTGTAATCAGTATGGCTAACCTGTCCGGTAGTATGCTAATCTGTTAACATAATGGGTTGCATTTTTAAATTAGTTGTGTATGTAAATGGGATTGTCTGTGGCCATTCATTTCTTGACGAAAGGAGAAGCACCAGACATCCCAAAAACAGCGTCTCCGACCTTCAACAACATACCTCTCTTTGGTTCTCCTTACGGTGTGTCTGAATGTTTTAAAGTTTATTTTGAGCTATGTTATGTATTAATTATCGATCGTTACAAAAAAAACGGACGTTACTTAATAAAACATTACTTGTCACACAAGAAGCTGCGTATCTAGATTTTTTTTTAAAACCATGCTGAAGAATAGCGCGTATATAATACTATTGCTACTATTAAGGTTATATTTCAGGTTTTCACCAGCTCCTCCGCAGTGGCCAAACCCATAAGCGTTCGGAGCGTCAGTAAGCTGGATCATGAGGCCATTTAGGTTTTGTTCCTACTGACAGCACCACTAGATGGCGCTCCTAAAACACCGATGCATTAGACCGGAATGTGCCTGACAAGACATCATGTACGTATTTATATAGTCAATTTTACGCATGCAATCTAAAGTTATCTCCTTGTTCCAAAAACTTAAATCAACCAGCAATCATTTGTGCAAAATTTGCAGTGCCTTCCATCCATCCATTTTATGTAACTGCTTGTCCTATTCAGGATCATGGGTGGTCCAAAGTCTCTCCTGATTGGTACAGGCACAAGGCATAGGACAATCCAGGATGGGGTGCCAACCCATCACAGGGCACAGTCACACACCATTCACACCTACGGGCAATTTGGTAACTCCAGTTAACCTCTGCATGTTTTTGGATTGTGAGAGGAAAAGTGGAGAACTCGGAGGAAACCCCACAATGACATGGGGAGAACATTCAGAGACTCGAACCCTAGTCCCAGAGGTGTGAGGCAATAGTTTGAACCACTGGACCGTCGTGCCACCCCTACAGTGCCTTCTTTAGTGGAAATAAATGAGAAAAACGAATGCAAAGTTAATTATCTGAACCAAAAGGTTATACAATGCCCATATTTGAGGGGCTGGTGGTGCCCTGAACTGTGGTTCTCATCCCATCTTACAGATCAGCATCCAGCACGAACTCAGAGACAAAGAGAGCCCTCGCTATCTTGCAGTCTCACCCCACGCTCATGTGCTCGGTCTGACACGTGGAGTCATGTGATGCCTGACAATATGAAGGACATGTCTACAAACTAAGTGTTCAGCTGAGGTCATCTGACAAACTATTACTATTTGTTCCACAAGCCTCAATAAGACTGACTGGTGATCGTGCTTTTTCAGTGTACGCGCTTAATCTTCTGCACAACCTCCCTATAAACATCAGGTTCTCCCCCAAATAACACCTTTTTTAAATCTAGACTGAAAACTTAATTCAGACTGGCATTCAGTTTGGATTAATATTTTTATTCTGTCTTGTTTTCCTCTTTCCCTTCTCTTGTGTACGGAGATGGAGTTGGACTGGCACTATTGTTGTCCGGTTAGGTCTTATGTTTGCATTGCTTTACTTATTATTTGTAAATATTGTACAGCACTTTGGTAGCTTTGGTTGTTTTTAAATGTGCTTTAAAAATAAAACGACCACTCAGACATTTCCCTGTGTCTGCCGTTAGTAGAACTTTTTTTTTTTACTCTGAGCATCAATCATCCATGATTAATCTTTGAGACCATACAGGTTCCATGTACTGTAGATACACCATGTTAATTCATTTGTCAAATCTAATTCCATTACTTACTGAGATGATTGATGAGGAAAAGAAGGTTTTCTTTGAACTTGGGTGGGGCTGATCCAGACATGTGCTGATTCATCTAAATAGCAACAATGAATGTTTGGAAGATACAGGTACTTGGTACCACCCACTGATCCAAAGCCAGACCTGGTCATGAAGCAACTTACAAGCTGTGTATCTTGTGTCTGTCTATTTTTCTGTATCCAACATATATTTACATGAGCTCTTCTTGGTTCCTGTTACGTCACAGGTGCAATGAAAGCTGTTGATGAGGAGCAATGACTTGGACAGTCTTCTGTAGACCCAATGGTCATGCATTTGAATACTCCATGATGCTGGGGTCGGCCGCTGTTCCCATTCCATATAGATTTTTACCAGAAATTCTATAAGAAAAATGTTGATGACGTGCCCTCAAACGTCAGCACAAAATGACAGCGGTTTTTGTCCACTCCTGTTTTGGAAGACAGTGGCTGGTTTGAGCTGACAGTGTGTGTGTGGCTCAGTGGACTAAGCCTGTGTGCTTGTAATCACAACGTTGCTGGTTCAAAACCAGCCTCAGCATGTCTGTGGGTCCTTAAGCAAGGCCCTTGCCCCCCAGCTATCATCAATAATGTATCTGTTATTATTTAGGTTTGTTATTTTGAAAAGCCACCCCAGTGTAGTGACTGTTTGTGGTCAGCAGGGGGCAAACATTGGTTGCCTCACACAGATGCATAGTTGGAGGGGTGGCAAACACCATTACTGCTGAAAGCCCCACTAGGCAGGTTCCATGAATCACACAGATACAGTGATTTGCAGAAGCATTCACTGCATGGCCACCATTTTCAGACAGTGAGCCACAAGAGGGCGATATGGAGGGGGGCAGCCTGTGGACTCCTGGGTCAAATGAAAAACAGGCAAACTGGTTCTACTACATCCTCCTGTCTTGTGATCCTTTGGAAAGTGACGTGGCAGTAGTGACAGCGAGGAAGGAAGGTGGGGCCACCATGGCACAGTAATCTAATCAGCGTCAAGCCAGACTGCTGCCCTTCATCTGAGGCTCCAAAGGCCACATTAGTCTGACCTCATTATGGGATGTCTAAAATACAAGCTCAACACCTATTCTAATATCACAATCTTGGCTGTTGAAAAATCTCCTTTAACAAACTATATTAAGTTCACTGAATTGGAACAAGTGACCAAACACAAATTTAACTGTAAACAAATACTATTAAAATGTCCATTTCAACTCAAAGGTATATGGAGAGGTATATGGAAAGGTATACGGCTCTGCAAAAAGGTGTGCAGTTACCAGCTCATCGTGTCTTTGTTGACAAGGCTTTAGTGGGAGGGGGGGTTAGACCCACTGCTGGTTATGTATGGTGTATAATATATATATATATATATATATATATATATATATATATATATATATGTTATATACCGAATATATAGCCTTCAGTTTTTTAGCCACAGTTTTCTATCTGTTTTATTTAAATTGCTGTGTACTTAAATGACTCCAGTCTTCTCAATGATAAACCCACATGGGGATATTTTTTAAGCATGTCTGAATTATAGCTACTATTATATTTGTATTAGCCAGTGTTGGGCTATTTTATATTTTTACTATATTGCCATTTGCCTTGCAGGCCTGGGGATGTCGCACTGGACAACAGCACCTGTCACATTAATAATATATGTAAGTGAGAAAGGTGGTTTTAATTTTAGCCCTGAGACCTAGATCAGGAAACGCCTCGGAACAAGAAGCCACACGGCGCTCCCGAAGAAGGCTGTCTGAGCTGGAGGCCTGCCTGCTAAGCCGTGTCCATGTCACATGACCAAATGACAGCTCACAAGGCCTACATCACCTATGCTGCACTTATGTGTAAGGTCAGCACAAGAGCCTGAAACTGCCTCTAAGGTTTATAGCCCGGTGTACCGTCTAGGTCCCAGCTATGTCCTCTGTTGAGTGTGACCTGGCGAGGGCACTTGCATTGATCAAAGCGTTCTGGCAGAAGGGCTGTGAATGGAGTTGCCACTTTGTACTTCACCGGCACAAAGTACTCATTGATGCTTCTGTTAATTAATATCACTAAACAGTAAGTCATAGACAGGAGGCTGAACGGATGGGGGGAGCCAGCAGAGTCTATGGCAGATGGGATGAAAACTAACAAACTCATAGCAGTAGGAGATGTCTGTTAACATCTGAGAGCTTCTAAAGGGACACGGTGAGAATGCTGTCACTGCCAACTAAGACAGGCTAAATGGCTCAAGTGCTCACCACAGAGTACCACAGAGTACCACAGAGTACCACAGAGTAATTTACTTTTAGCTCAGAAATGGGTGAGCAACCAGTGCAGTCACTGAAACTGAAAAATCTGCATTTTAATGGCTTATGCATGAGCACTGTGATGCAGATGATCTGTGACATAATTCAGCATCAACTGAAGCATCAAGGAGGTATTTAAACAGTATTTATTGCAATCTACATGTACAAAGGAAAATCTGCAATGTACAGAAGCTATTGTTTCTAGTTATTGGACCCTGTGTCATGCTGTCAGTTGTATTATGACTGAAACCTTTGCTAAAATAGCATTTAACCAACGTCTACCCTCTAAGACTTGTAGCCTAGCCTGGTGTACCGCATCGGCGGAGCGGGGGGTTGGCTTACTGGGCTTAAGCCCGGGTTGTTGTTTCAGAAGCCCAGGGTCTTTTGGAGTGTAATTTGTTTCATAGTTAGATGCCTGACTGACAACTGTATAAAACAAAAACTACACGCGATATTCGAAGCACATAGCGCACAGTCGTAAATTCCCCCTAATTTTGGTATGATCCGAGCTCAGGCACTTGGCAACTGAGCACAGCACTTACGCATGTGAGCGAGGGGGGAGAAGCTGCTGCCTGCGAATTTGCTGTAGGAGAAGTGCAGACAGGCAGACAGAGGAGAGCTTATGTTTGACCAGGTACCAAAGCAAATCA